GACCGCTTGCAGAAAGATGCGGCGGCTTGGCCGTTTGTTTGACAAGGGCCCGGCGCCAGGAGCGCGCAAGTGCGCCTCGAGAGAGCATGCGGAAAAGGCGCGCAGCCGCTGAAGCTATTGACGAAGGGAATCTCCACCAAACAGAGCGTGATTTCGGCAACAGCTACGACTGGCACTGATTGGGAGTTGATGCCGCCTTGGCCGCACGCAGCCTTTAACATGTTGGTGCCGGTTTAGTTTTGCCAGGCGAACTTCTTAGGTGGAGATTGTTCGCAGTAAGATTGTTTGATATTTGTTTGGGGGCGAGCGTGCCTTGAAATTCAATCAGTGGCTCGATTGGTCACGTCGTCTTCCCCGTTTGTGTTAGTGGCGTTTCCCGTCAATGCAAGCCAACAAAAAGCAAGGATAAGTCGTGTTAGCCTTTTCGTCGTCTGCCTTCCGTTCCATGCCAAATGTCAATGGGCTTTAGGCGCAACTAGCTCAAAAAGTGCTTGTGCACAAGAACTCCCACGTAAACGATCTCAACCAAAAGGCGCCTTTAGAACTCATACCCAACTAAGAAACACCTCGCGTCATGAGTGTGCCGTCCTCTGGAAGCGAGAACGAAGCGGGGAGTCGCTTTTGTCACTTTTGTCCCTTTGTTTGGGCGTGGTTTTTTCCTGCCAAGAAAATGCCAAAATTTGTCTTTCAGTTTTTCTGGGTGAGTTAATTTGTGTGTAACTCAGAAGAAGGGTGTGCTAGTCCTTTCTTTTTAGCGGCGAGATCCTTTTACATCAGCCAAGAGCAGGGGGGAACCATGCTCCCCCGGTTTGGAGCGGATTTCCTTCCAGATTCAGCCAGGAGAGAACCAGGAAGTCATCCCTCGCTTTTCATTGGAAAACAGGTCCATTTTCAATTGAGCAAGAAAAGGAGGAAGTACTACGTTTTGCTTTTGTTGGGATTGCTTGGAAATTTGACCCAGTGCATTTGCCCTTTTCTCCTTTTTATCCGTGGGTAACCGTTGGAGGGGTGCAAGGATCTGCTTTCAGATGACGACTGCTTTGCTCTTGGGCAGCCTGCTGGCGGTTTTGGAGGGCTGGACCTTTGTGGAGAGCTTCAAGACTATCCTCTTTGTCCAGTTTGGAGGAGGCTTGCCTCTGCAAACAAAGGTGCCTTCAAGGACAGATGGGGTTGATGGATTGGCATGACCATGTTTGGTCCTGTTTGTGCTGACATCTTGAAATCTCGAACACCCCGACTTTTGCTGGGAATGAGCTCGGGTTTGGGAGCGTTTATTCATTTGGGAATGAGGTCGGGTTGGTGTCCACTGCCAGGGAATCGCTTTTTTTTTTCCAGCTAGGCAAGTCGCCAGTCAGGACGGTCCATGAGATTCTGCTGGCGGTGTGCGCGCTTTGGGCCATGGGCCTCTCAGGCTTGTGTGTCTCCGCAACAAGCAGCTTCTGTACGAACATCTTGCTGGCAATGAGCGGCTCTCACTTGACATCCGCCGGGAAAGCAAAGGCTTTGGCGATTTACCTGTGCTTGACCTTTTTTGTGGTGCCCATCATCCTGATGTTCGCCATGAGCTTGGTGAGCCTGTTCTTTATGATGTTCGATCCAGATTCTAGCTTTGAGATGTACTTTTGGTTGTCCTTGCCAGCAGTGGGTGGACCGGCATCAGTGAGCAGTATTACTGTAATGGCGGAATCTCTCGTTGAACACATTGCCTTCATCTGTGCCAGCGTGGTGGGTCTGCTGATCCTATGTTCCACAATGAACCATTGCCAGATTTAGCTTACCTTTGCAACTTTTGTCCTTTCTGGCTTTGCTGTACCGCCTTCAGCCTGTTCGCTTGCAGGGGGTTGGCCCAGGAACATCCTGAGCACTCCGTTGACACCTCTGATGCGCTTCATCGGCTTCGGGGAGTCAGAGGTTCCTTCCCTGCGCCGGGCACTTGGTCTGCTGATGGTGACCATTCTGGTGGTCATCCCTGCTGCGGTGGCCATTTCCAGCTTACCTTTGGCAGCTGTGTTGGCGCCCTCGGAGGGTGGGGATGAGCTGGAAATGTTGGTTTTGTTTTACTAGGTCCTCCAGGAATTGGTGCCCCTTTTATCTCCCATTTCTTTTTTGGTTGGGAAGGTTCCTAAAATAGACTACAGATTTAAAAAGGGTACCCCTTATTCTAATCTCTCTACTGGAGGACCTAGCCTAGGTCTGTTTTCTTAGGTCCGGTTACCTGGTTGGTTGGTTGCTTGGTCCATTGCTTGCTTGCTTGCTTGCTTGGTTGGTTTGTCCCTGTTTTTTTAAACACAAAAGCACACGCCCCTGCCCTGAAGGTTGGCGTTTGGAGCAGGCCTTCTGGTGGGTGGTCTCTTGCCAGCTCGGGGGCGGGTTGCTTGGCACGTGAAATGGGAATCTCACAGGTTGTGAACCCACAGCATCGCGTTTCCCATGCCTTCCGCCTTTTTCGCATGTTTTTTGGAGTTGACATGTACCCGCTTTCTCACCCACGTGGCACCTGACAGGGGTCCCTTCAGGAAGATATCTTTCTTTCAGTATCCTATGTGAACCCTTTCCCCCCCGAACTGCCATAAAATTGGAACTCGAGGATGGCTTTGACCAATGCCCAGATCAACACCTTGGGCGGGCGATTCTTCGGCACGATCGCCTGTGGCTGGAGCATGGGCATCTCGGCCCTCGCTTTGGGCCTCGCGCAAAGTCCCGCCTTGCAGCCCCTCCTCCCCAGGCTGCTCTCGCGGCCTCGCGCGAATCGGGGAGTCAAAACAGGTCTCCCCAATGTCGCACCAAGGTTCTTGTGCGGGTTCACTAGGCCATGGTGAGCCCCAAATCATGGTTATTGTGAAACATTTTACATTTTTGCTTATTGTGGTTTAGTGAGAAATCCCCACTCAACTACTAGAATAACAATCGCTCCCCTTCCAACGTCAACCAAGAACTCGTTGTTTGGGCCCGCTTTCTGCCACTGGAACTGAGTGGCCTTCGGTTCAGGGCCCGTATTGGGTGTCGGGGCACATGCAACATGGAGCCCACCAGGTCTCTTGAGCGGAACATGATCAGGCACCTTCAGTCAGGCTTCATGTTGGTGGATCAGAGGGACGCATACGTGCATGCATGTGTGTTATATATATATATATATATATATGTATAATAATGTGTCTTTCTGTATGTGAAGTGTGGACTCGGGTGCAGTCCCCTTGCAGTGAATGCGGCAAGAGGCCGTTCAATTCTTGACATTGGGTAGACTCCTCCAACGCCAGGTGATGATTGAGAATGAGTGTTTGTTTGCGTCAAGTTGAGTATTTGCAAGGTTGAATAACGAAGGTTTGCCAAGTTGAGTAATCCGGGGCAACATGACTCTGTCAAAGACCAAGGGACTAGAACTATCCTATTTGCACTATGTTGACCTCAGATTAATAAACCCAGCCTATTAACAGGCGGGTGTTCCCTCGAAAAGTGATGAACCCCCACGAAAATGGAGCACCCCTATCAACCAACCAGGGGTTTAATTGCTTCTCCAAGGTTCCCATCACCCCTCTTCGGTGCTTCCCTTTTGGCTGGTTTGGATCAGGCTCACCAAGTGGCCGTGCCAAAGCACTTCCACTGCCTCGCGCTCGCCCTGTCCTGACCCAGCCCGAGTCCAACCAGAGCCTTGGCAAAGTCCAAGTTTTGGGATAGGTTGTTGGGTGGTTTCCTTCGGATTCGGATTTCCATGGCGCAGTTTGGGTTCCTTTGGTTTTCTCCCAACGTGAGCAGCTTCCTTTAATCTCAAAACCATTGGCAGCGTGCTTTCGCTTCGGTTTCCATTGCAGAAGCTCCCTTGTTTGTGGAGAGCCCGCCTATCGATTTGTTAAGGCAAACTAAGAGGAACTGCCGTATGATGTGCCCGAGTTTTAAGACAAATTGTCATTGTCATTGTTCACCCAAAATCTTTGCCGTCAAAAAATGCCGGCCGAGAAGGGTCTAATGCAAAGATGGGGGGTGGCACATCGAAGGATCCGCAGCTGGACGGCGCGGCCAAGGAGTTGGCACAGGCGGACAACACCTCGGCCAGGGATTTGGAGAGGGAGATCGACGCAGTTCAGCGACCTCGGGCGTCCACTCCGGCTCCTCCAGCGCGGCCTTACGTGATTCCTATCTGATGCGTATTTCTTTGTTCGGCATGGGTGACTCAACTAGGTCCCCCAGTAGTGCCCTTTTACCTTTTCTTTTTTGGAGGAGGTTTCCCCTACTAAAATAGGCGAAACCGAAAAAAGTGGGTACCCTTGTTCTAACCTCTCTGCTGGAGGACCTAGTCGAAAGCGTAGCCCTGCCTATGTCGGCGCATAGGATCGGACAAATGGTTCCCAGTAAATTGGGACCGTGCAGGACGTTGGCCGTGATTTCGGTTTTGTTTGGGAAGGGTGTCTATATGTGTCTATCTAAATCAGGCAACAGAGACAAAATCAGCCAACAGAGTGTGTGTGTTTTTTTGTGGCCACTGAACTCTTGACTCAGACAAGCTTTTTCGATATGGTGCGTCACCTGACTGCTACTGCAGTTTCTTCAACTCACTTCCTGAGTTCATGAACTTTATTTTTTTGGGGAAGACCATTTTAGTGGTAAATATAAAGTTTGGACTTTTTATGGGCCATCCACTCAGCCAGTGACTCAAGGTTGGCGTTGTAAATGCAAAGAGCTCCTGCCAAAGGCAGCGGGCGCTTGTCTTTCAATGCTTGCAAAAGGTGGGGCTGGGCAATCCATTCCGACATGGGCTGGGCTGCCACTTCACAAGCTGAACAATTGACTGGTGGCTTCAAGGAAATCCTATCGCTGTTAGTTGGGATCCCTATCCGAAACAATGCATGTATGCAATATTTGCTCACATTTAGGTATATAATACCTATAGAGTCAGATTGTTTGGGTGTATTTCTTGTTTTTTTTCCAAAGCCCCGTTTGTGGTGTTTGTTTTCCCTTCCTCTTTGGTGCTTGGGCAGCGGGTTGTTCTGACGCAAGCCTTGTAGGCCAATTGTCTACACTGCCCCTGTGGCCGGCTTCACATGTTGGCACTTCCAGGCACCCGAATCGTCTCCGTACCGGTCGCTGGAGAGAAAACTACGTCAAAACAAAACGACAAGAACCCGTATATGTATGTGTTGAAATAGGGGACTCCAAAATGGTAGTTGTCCCTTTGGTTCCCTCTAAACCAACCCCACAAAAACAGCCCTTCGTGGAGCCTAGTTTCGACCACTTGTTTGCGCCAATGTTTACAGGGAGCGGAAATTAAATGTCAAATCGATGTCACCAAAAGAGTGCGCTCTGTGCGGCAGAATCTCATGGATTGGAAAGTGGTCTTATTCTACTCTTTGAGTTCCGTCACTTCAAGGCATTTGGAAAGGCCATTTTAGTTGCAACTAAAAAATATAGACTGTTTATTAGGCCCCCTTCTTGTCGGAAACTGATAATTTGATGTCAACATTAAGGCCGGGCCTGACACTTCCGCGACACCCTTTTCATCGACGGTATCGGCAAAGCCTTCTTTTTGTGTGGACACTCTGACTGGGGGTGTCTTCGTTTTGGGGTGTTTGAAAGCACCCCCGCACCTTTGGGGTATCACAAAATACACACCCAAATATGCGCAATTACCATCAGGGTGTTCTGCAGTAGCTAGTCCAATGTACTTTGAGACACATGCCTGACATCTGACATTGGTTCAACAGACAGTGTTCGACTCATATCGTTTTCTGCATTGGTGCGGCTGAAGTGCTTCTCAAGTTGCGAAGCGCATCCGGAAGTTCCGGGACCCATGTAGTCTACCTAGTGCAGGCTTCCTCTAGGTATTCCAAGCTGGTCCAAAGGTGAGGTCAGAAAGAGTCAACCGCCTGGTGCCGAGTCAGGGCCCGACCCAGCCCAAGCCTACCTTCGAGCCGGGAAGCCTTGGTGGGTAGAGTTTGGTTTTGTGACGCGAAGAAGAGCCACATCTTTCAATGGTCCAACGTGTTTTGGACGCTGGAAAGTTCACGCGGCCCAAACCTCCAAAGTGACGAAAGTCCAGGGACTCAGGGAATAAATCAACCCCTGTGAAATCACGAATCCGTGTCCGCATAACTTTCTGAATAGCTGGGACTGTCATGTTCTCTCGTGGCTTCTGACCATGACTTGATTGGGCGGGAGGATGCCAAGTAGCTGGTGTCCTTTTGCTTTCTGTGCCAACTATGAGGGTCACAGGAACCCGGAGGTTAGCACTGTTTACTCCCCCCTCCCTTCAGGGAGCTTCCACCTTTCTCTGTTTGAAGCGCCATTGCCGCGATTTCAAGGCCTGTAGATGGCGGCGCCGACCGCGTTTGCCGTGGCGCTGTGGGGAGCAAAGGGAGCAATTGGAGTGGCTACTACCGCACCTCGACTTTTCTGAATTTCTCGCCAGCGGAGGGCTCCGAGTTGCTTTTTGTTTGGCGGATGTATCACCAGCTTGATGCTGAATGCTGTGGCCGTAGGTGGGGCTGTTCTTCCAAGAACAGCCATTCAAGGGCAATTCAAGGGGTACTTCCCATGTTCAGTTGGTTCTTCTTCGTAGGGGCTGCAAACAACTGCAACCTCTGCTGCCGATGTCTAGTTGTTATAGTCTGTTTTGCACATGTCGTTATTGGTTTCGCAGCTCGGTTTGAGAATGGAGCTCGAGGCCCCTGCCTGCAGCAGCATATTCATGGGGTATCCTCAGATGATAGTAGTAGACTGCCTTTTAGTTGGGCTGCTTTCAAGGATTCGAGGATGACCCCCCGGATGATTCATAGACTTTCTTTGGGATTTGTTGGTTGAAGGGGGGGGGGCAAGCTTGCGACATGTCCATGTTGTAAATTACAAATGATTGTCGACTGCGTGACCCCCTGCACTGAGCATGCTTTGGCTCTGGATTGCCCATTGCTTGCTCATGTTAAGATGCCTTGCGTTTCCCTTGTGTGCAGCCAATGTTCATGATCATGTGCTGTGAGTCGACATTCACACTCATCAAACCAGAAGGACAAACTGGCAACAAACAAACCATTAACCATTCTAGGGGTACCTTCCCCATTCTTTCCAGGCATCAATCTTTCAAAAAAACCACCCAAAACCCTGGGGAAACGGATCCGGTTTTGAAAAGAACGAATCAACCCCTAGAATCATTGGCTCTCGTTCGCATTGACTTAGGCGTCTACAATCCGCCGACTTTGGAGCTCTGCAAGGGCCGTTGCGCCATTACAGATGGCTGTGCGGGCATTGAGTGGTGCCTGGGCTGTTGAACATGTTGGACGAATTCTGAGGCCCAACTGTTTGGGGATTCTCAATATTTTGGGGGGTCATCCCTGGAGCCATCTCTTTAATAGGGGAGGCCTCTCGCAGAGAAGTGGTTTTGAGGCTTGTCTTGACTCGAGAGGAGCCGCGCAAGTTTGAGCATGGCGCGTTTCAGATGATGCACGGTCTTCTTCTAAAGCCCTTTTGGCCACTCCCATTGGCCATCTAGGTCCCCAGTAGTGCCCTTTTACCCTTTCTTGGGGGAGGGTTCCCCTATAAATACACTACAGAAAGAAGTTGGTACCCTTATTCTAACCTCTCTGGAGGACCTAGCCATGATTGGAGGCTTGCACTTCCTTCGATTCCTTTTACCATGCGCCGAGGAGTCCGAGGCGATGCGAGGTTTGGACATCTCCGACGCTTGGCCTGAGAAAAGCACATCGCGAGATCACAAGAACCCGGGCTTGGACCCCCCCGAAATGTGGATTTGGCGAAAAGGGATACATGCCCACGGCCGGCTTCCCTTTGTACCAAGGTGAAAGTGGATGGCACGATTCCCTTGATGTGGGGAAGTAATTGGATGACTAAACCATGGCGGAGTTGTATTTTCGCCCAAGTGGATCCAAAAGGGGTCACTATTGGTCAGTGTCGGTTGCTTGGCCAGATGACTGTGGCAACGAACATATCAGCTCGCATAGTCTCATAGTGATTTAGCTCATTTTGCGCTGGGTCGAAGCTTGTGCCTTGTGTTTTGTCTGAAGCCAATACTGGCGCTCCAAGTTCCTTTTTCGCTCCTGGTGGTTTTTCTTAGTCAAGCAACTACCATCATTTTGACTGCTACTGGGTTGGATCTTTAATTTTTGTTTGAACCACCCACAAAAAGATCAACTTTCCCTCTTAGGGCTTCTGGAGGTCTGGCTAAGTTGCTGCCGTCTCCTTGTCTCGAAACGGTTCATGTATCGCCTGGAGTGCCACGAAACTCGACTTGGGGCCGCCTCCGTGAGTGCAAACGCTTCAACAAACCCCGCCAGCATTACTTAAAGCAAAAGAGAGGGACTTTTTGGGATCTGATGTTTCTTGTTGTCTTTTTTTTAGGGGCTAGAACGAACTACAACGATTTCAGGATCATTTTGGGCTTGTCATTTTGTTGGGACATCAGGATCGAGAGCACCAGAGCCGTGCCGGGCTTCCAGTGCCTCCGCGCCAGCATCTTCTCGTGAGCCCGGGCTCCCGAATGGCCATCAGTTCCCTCAAGGCTCATAGGCGGTGAGGAGTGAGCCATAAAACTAAAATCAGCAGTTCCTGATAGGAGTCTCTGACCTACAATTAGGAATCGCAGGTAAATGGTGGCACGCCTGATGATAGGAGTCTATGACCTATCCCTAACAAGCCCAGCTATGGGTGTTTTGACCCCTGCGCATGTTGATCAGCCGGTCAGCAGATGTGCGGTGCTTGGTGTACATCAACATGTATGCATTCCTATATGCACCTACCAAGGCAAGCACGTTTCCAGAATTTAGTCTTGTCATTTGCCATCAATCCATCCATCCATCCATCCATCTTTCCTTGATTCCATCCATCCATCCATCCATCCATCCATCCATCCATCCATCCATCCATCCATCCATCCATCCATCCATCCATCCATCCATCCATCCATCCATCCATCCGATTTCAGAAAAACAGCACCCCCCCCCCGGGGACCTTGACCCTTCTGAACTTCGAATCTCCACTTCGAATCGCTATTAAACAACATAGAATCAAATTAAACACATGGAAGTTGTTGTTTGGTTTCCCCTTATAGGGTCCCCCAAAAGGTTGGTACCACAGACCCGGCGATTGAGGCCTTTCTGACGCAAAGGGAATCCCAGCGACGCTTTTGCCGGATGCGGTCGGACGTTTTCCCAGCGCCAGGTTAGAACAATGGCATTGGAATTCCATGAAAAGTTGGATTGGAATGACCCCCATCCATATTCTATGGTTTTCTTCAAGGGAATCCCCAAACGGTTCATTCCCTTTGCCCGGAAGGTCATTCCCGACCTATCGCAGCAGCAAGAACAGCACCTGCACATCTAAAGCTCGTTTATTTAGAACTTGTCCAGACATGGTGCCTAACCAGCGGTACCAAGCAAATATCCAAAAAAAAACGTGGTTTTCGTTCGGGCTTCCCTTGAAACCAACCGGAAGTGTTGAGATTTACAAGCAACCGAGGCTAGGCCTTTGCAGGCCCTGACTCATGGAACCAAATCAGAAGTGGACATGAATCCCCACCAATTTTCGATGTCCACACAAAAAGGGTCCGGTAAATTTCATGTCCATGAGATATCCATTCGCATGTTTTTTTTGTTTTTTTGGCTTGGCCCGGCTATGATAGTGCAACCTGGCTGAGGGCGCGCCGACCAACCCACATGCAATGGGCTGGAGGATCCCGGAAGCGCTCCGGGAGCTGATTGTAAAGCTTGGGAATTCGGAGGCGAAGGTGAGGTTGTCGGGGTAAAAGCCCCCACTTCTTTGGCGCATGTTGCTTGGATGTTAGGACTTTAACTTTTTGCCAACTAATGGGTTTTCCATTAAACCACTAAAGATTAAACTTTTAGCAGGGGAGCAGACAGCAACCGAGGCTTCATGGTTGTTGTTGGGACACATTTTTCACATTTTTGCGTATTGTGGTTTGGTGGTTGAAATCCCCTTCCACATTAGTAAAATTTGAGAATTGCTCCCCAAACCCAACATCAAGACGTCAACCGGGATCCTTCTTTCCGGAACCAAGGCCCAACCTTGGGAAACGGCTCTTGGAAAAGAAGGTTTGCTGGGAACAGTCGGATATCAACGCCTGGAAAACTGAGCAAAATCCATGAGCCCCCTCCCGCAAAAAAATCACACAAAAAAACACAAAACGCAGGTCTGGAGGTATGCGAAACTTCCCCTTTCGTAAAGAAAGCCCGGGCGCAGAAGGAGATTGCCCCAATCTTTATGGCTGTTGGTTTGGTTGTTTGGACTTTACTGTAACTTGCTGGTTGAAGGGTCAACAACAACCAAGCAATTTGTCAGAACTCCAGGTGGGGTTCATCACGGGGCCAAGCTAGGTTGGCTCATAACCCAATATGTCGTGTTCCGAACCAGGTCCCTTATTTATTGTGCTTTCACGATGTTGATGATGTTACTGCACGATTTGCCAGCCTCTAGTGCTGGGTGCATCAAGACAACATCGGGACAATTCCATCTAAATGATGGTTTAAAAGGGACCCCAAACCCCGTGAAGTTCTTTGGGGGACCCGGTAGTAGGCCTTTGTATGCTAGCTTGACCCGAAGGTTCCATGACCTTGCCCGAACAGCCTCAAACTGCCCTGCGGAATTGCGGCCACACAAGTGCTGCAGCGTGCATGTCAAAACTCGGCTCAAACCGGGCTTCTGATGTGTCCCTTAATCCCGAGTTCCTGAACTTGATACATTCCGGCACGACCATTTTAAATATGTCCATGGTTGACACAAAAAGCTCGGACTTCGTTGGCAAATCCACTCATGTGAGTTAAAAGAGGTTCACAACGTCACCTTGTGGAATGATTTAATCTGAGTAGCCTTTAAGAGAGGCTGAAAGAGCGCGGGCAAAAAAGTGGGAAGACCTCTAACCTGCGTACCCCTCCTTTTTTTTTGTCAAATAAGATTTGGCTATTCTCATTCAGGGCGTCAGCAGTAAGCTGGATGTCTCTGCCAAGTTCGTTTTCTGCATGGGACACGGATGTTCACCCAGGGTAGACGAGAGCTGCACATAGGCCAAGAGGGCCGAGAGAGACTCCGATGTGCACGGCCATGAAAAGAGATATTCTGAGCTTTTGCCCACGCCTGGTTTGTTGCCCCCCAACCAATGGCTAGGTCCCTCAGTAGTGCACTTTCTCACCCCGTTTTTTGGGGGAGGGTTCCCCTACTGAAATAGACTACAGAAAAAAAGGTACCCTTATTCTGACCTCTCTACTGGAGGACCTAGCCACCAATGGTGTGCATAGCGAGTTCCGTGTCTTTGTCTCCGACTCATGAATATGGAGCGGTTCTTGCCAGCTTTGATTTATCGATGGACTGCGAATAGGCTGTTGGACCACATGGCCACACACAAATGTTTGTCGTCCGATTCGCTGACCTGCTGACCTCAACAGCCAGTTCCTCAGAAGCAGCCAGTCGCTCCGAAACGACTTCCGCAAGGTGCGGGGCGTGGACAGGGGGGCCGAGCATGCCCCGGGATGGATTTGTGCCTTCGCGGCCGAGCACAAGTGTTTGCATATTTGCGTAGGGATTCTTCTGGTTTTATTTGTAGTTTGAACTTGTCAAACTGCATGCAGGACCAGCACGAAATAGCGAACAAGTGCAAGTTGCAAGTATGTACATCTCTGTTCCTGGACCAACTTCCCAACAATATTTTGCCATTTGGCCACGATCTGTATCTTGGGCAAATGCCAAAGGTGGTGCGGAGGAGGGGAGCCTGACGCTCTGCACACACAAACAATTAGGTTCTAAACATCGGATGTCCGTCGAAGATGCGTGATTAGTTGAAATTGCTGCATTTGATCACTGATTTCTGCAGCAAGGTCTCTTCCAGGTCGTTCCTTCGATGTGCAACCATCCGCATGGTTCCCTAGCATTTCACGCCCAGCTTTGCATGCGAGGCCCATGTAGTTTCCCATGGGACCCCACCAACTCGGATGAATCTCCGCAAGGGGCCTTGGCTTGCAAGAGTTTGCTTGCGCGGCCTCTGGCCGACCGAGGGCCGAGTGCGGATTCGTTCACAAAGGTGGCGACTCAGCTCGGTCACGCGGAAATTATAAGCTCAGGAGCCAAACGCGCTGCCCCATGATATTCCGGCCACCTACCTGGGGGGTTGTTATTTGAGGCTTGTGAACCATGCTAGTTTTATGGAGTTCCTGAAACAGGGTGGTCCAAGGGGGGGCTTCCCGAGAAAACAAAACAAAACCTGTCTCAACTACCCCCCCCCCCCTGCAGAGGGTTTCAGATGGCAGATCTGTCAAGAGCTGGGGGCTCTTGCCATGACGCATGGCACCCTGCCAGGAACCCCAACGCCATGACGACCCGTGGCTTCGACGTGACAGGCGCAGATTTTGCTCAGCTTTCTGTGGCGATCTTTTCGGGTCTCAGGCCACTTACCAAAAAACACCGGGACCCTCCAAAGTGGCTTTAGCTGGTCGTGGCTGTATTTGCATGGGAAATGAAGACCCATCTCGAGGGCTGCCGCCAGTTAGCGGCAGATCCGGATCTATGGTCCCATGTGTCGTGTGGGCTGGTCTTAGACATGTCATGAGTGCATGGAACAAGAGTTGGCTAGCATCACATGCGAGAGAGGGGGAACAAAGAGCACAGGTAAGTGGCCCCACTGCCCTTCTTGGACAGAGGTGAACCATACAAGCTGCAAATTTGCATTTGTGGACCTCCAAAATGTCCAGCTCCCAGATCCTGCAGCTTGGGACCTAGAATTTCTTTTTGCCTCATTTTTCGTGGAAAAAATGATCGGCCCCCTCGTAGTGAAGGATTCCTTTTTGAGGGGGTCGCCAATTTTCAAGCACAAGAGGTGGCAAAAAGACCCCCTGTTTTAAGGCGTCCAAATTTCAACCTCCTTCTTATAGAGCCAAGCCCGGAAATCCCCAAACGACCATATTCCTCCAACGGGGTCTTCTGGTACTTCCAAGCCAATGTCGGTGGGAAGGTATCAGGACATGGTTGTGGCAAACAAAGGCCGCCACTTTTCTGTACGGGAAACCCCTTTGAGAGTTATGGTAGTGATTCATTTTGGCATTACAAGTTTCTTTGTGGAGTGGCATGCTTCTTGAATCTGTAAACTACTCGGGGTTTAAAGTCTAAACTACCTTCTTGGGGATTCTCAACCGGCTTCTTGAATCATGTGTAAACCACTCGGGGTTTAAACTAGATGTTAAACTACTTTCTTGGGGATTCTCTCAACCGGGGCCACAGCCAAATCCGTGAGGCGAGGCCAAGATGCCGGCGTGCGACATGTCCACGGCCCCGGGGACGCCGGAGGAATTCGAGGCCACGGAGCCATGGAGAAATACTTGGGGAGTTCGATTCGCCAGGTTCATAAGTTTTGCAAGGTCCAGCTAGGTGGCCCGTTTCTCACCCTTTTCTGGTTGGGAGGGTTCCACTACTAAAATAGACTACAGAAAGAAGTTTCTAACTTCTCTACTGGAGGACCTAGTTTGGGTAAGTTTTGGGTGCCCTCCCACCAACTAACATGGAAGTGCAAAAGGGCCCTTTCCAAGAGGAAAGTAGTTTTCTAGAGAGGTCTGTGTACTTCCATGTTAGCTGGTCGGAGGGTAGCTGTTCGTTCATCACCCAACTCTAAGTCCCGCGTTCGGTGGGGCTGAGCTTGTTATTCGGGGGTCAAACAACCCAACTGGCCAACCACTTGCTAACTTGGCCGAACATCGAAGCACTCCCTGGCGGATTAACGTGGAACCCCACAACCCCCCCCCGGCTGCTTTGTAGCAATGGGAGCCATTGCAGTCTAGTAGTGGCTACCAACGCGGATAAGTAATGGGATCATCGCAAGGCTGTCTGTGGGGGAGAATCCCCTTGGCCGGGATCTCAGTTAAAAATATTTTGCAATTGCAGGCTGGTTTTATGTGAACCGGAATCACATGTATGATCTTGAAGTGTGTGTTGTTTTTCTTCAGGGAATTATGATGTTGGTTGGTTTAACAGGAAAGCCAAAAGTGGACGCCTGTTTGGTCCAGGAGACAACTCCATGCATGATGTGTTTTTTTGCAGATGGTGTCCAAATTACCGTGCGGATTTAGATAAACCTATGACTTTTCAATGTGTTTGTGCGCAAATTGCAGGGAAATCGATCGGTGACTCACAAAAAACAACACCCTTGCAAAAGGAACAACTTGGCTCTCAGAGTCAGGCGTACCTGATATGGCCTTAGCTCAATGTAAACATGTGCTGGAGTGACTAAGCCTACTATTTGGGTGTGCCTTTTTGGAGGGGCCCCTCTTGTTATCTGGTTTAAAAGGACACCAAGAGGCAAACCACCATTTTGTTGGGTGCCCTAAAGAAAGACACACCCATTCAGTCATTTGCATGCCATTGTACCTGAAAATCAGGCGTGGCTCTTGGTGTGCCATGCAGAGTGGGTTTCAGCATTTAGATTTAGGATCGCGATGGGAACGTTTCTTTCAATCCCATGGTGTTACGCAGTGTTGGAGTGGATGCTTTACTTTTGGGAGGAATACCACTATTTTGTTCTTCCACATTGAACCTTTGAAATAATTCCTTTTTTTCCCGCTTGAACCCGGAACTGCTTAGATTATCCAAAGATACAGTCAACCCACCCACATACCAACAAACCAACCCACCCACCCACCCACCAACCAAACCCACCTACCAACATAGCTTGCAACCTCTCTGCCTGCGCTGCCACTTGCCAGGACGCGCATATGGAGGGCCTCACTGTGGGCGAGTTGGCGCGTCAGATAGGCGGGGCTCAAGGTGGGGGAAGGGTGCTGCAACGTGCATGTGTGAGTGTGTGGCTGTGTGCGTGTGCGTTTGTGTTTGTATGTGTGTGTGTGTTGTGCGTACTATTTGTCAGGTCGGCTCAATGGGAAGCCAAAAAGAGACCAATTTTTCCCCCCCCCCGCCCCCGATTTTGACTCGTACCCAGATGGAACCGGCAAAAGTGTCCTTGAAAGGGGATTGCTTGAGACGTGATGGCTGCTCGGGTTCCATGTTGCGCAGTATGAGTCAAGACCGCAAAGGACAGACCCAATCAGAATGGGTGCCGCCGCCCCCGGGGTGTTTTTTTCCCTTGAAGCCAACACCGGGCCAGCGAGGGCGAGCAGATTCTTCGCCTGGCCTCCCAAACGGGTTCATGCCGTGATTCATGGCTCTCCATCCCTTTTGGAATGGTTTCAGCATCACCTTTTCAGGGGGCAATTCGAGGGCTGTGATGTTTAACTGGGAAGTGTAGTCTAGTTGATGCTGACTGGTTAAGAACCAAACTTTTAACTGTTTAAACGTTGCATATGTTGTGCCGCAGCAGCCGAGACAAACAATTGAACCTTTCTAACCCTGACCGGCGTCTCCTCCAAAACGATTTCATATTTTAGGGTGGACTAAAGATGTTTTCTTTTTTTTGGACCCCCCAAAACATTGTGGTTGTCCTTCTATTTGCCTCTTCAACCAACCAAAACCGAATCCGGACATGTCAGTCTACTGCTATTGGGTTGGATCTTTAGACTTTAACTTTTGGATACCCCTCATATTTGCTCCAACCTGCACAAAGTTGAGCTTTTTGCTAGGGGATCTACAGCACCCAAGGTTCATGGGGGCTGGGGGGGAGGGAGGGGGAGGGAGCCCAAATAAGCCTCAAACAAGGCCTTACTTACTGAGGGCTTATTTGGGCTCCCTCCCCCTCCCCTCCCTGGCTCCGCTTCGGGCAACCGACGCCAGGCGCGCTGCCGCCCTGCGCCACGCACCTCAGCCTCCGCGAGGCGGCACAGCGACTGCTCTCCACAGGCGCGCTTTTCGGCGGGCGGGCGAAAAGCCGGCCGCACTGAAGGAGTTTATGGACTTTGTCTGATTTGTTTGTTTTGAGACCGGGTGTTAGTGGGGATATATTTTTTTTTTTTTTTTTTTTTTTTTTTTAACATGACACATGCTACAAAACGCCGTGCTTTACGGTCTTTTGGCACCCCTTTTAATGTTTGTTTTTGGGAAGACAAGTTGAGAGGTAGAAAGTTGAAATTACTGTGATTTGTGTTTGCCAATCGACTCAGTGAGTCATGCATTTTGTCTGATTCGTGTGTTTTTGGGAAGACATCTTTAGTGGTTGACAGCTAAAATAAATGTGATTTGTTTTTGCCAATCCACTCAGTAGTCCATGAGAAACGGTCAATATTCGCCATCCCCAGTGCTTGCACTTACCACTCCGGTGGGTAATCAAGGGAACCCACCATTGCAAACAAAAGGGAGAATCCCTCCAGGGAGACGCATTTCAGGGATCGGAATAGGGCAGGACAGAATCCACTTCGTGCCAATTAGGATGAATGAAACCCTATGAAACTGAGATGGGCCACTTACCTGGTTCAATATTTTCTCCATGCATAGCAATCACAGTCAGTTGCAGCAGAAACGGAACATTCGCCAACTTGCACTTGGGCAATGCAGGTTGCTAGTTGTCTGCACTGCCGCGGAATGGGCTTTGAGGGACTGAGGGCGCGACAGGCAGCTGTGGGAGTCTCGCAAGGCTCCGGGTATCTCGTTGTGTGTGATTCCAACATCACCTGATTGGGACATGTTGAAATGATATTCCTTTTGTTTGGGCGATGTTTAAAGGGGACAACTATGAGTAAACCTGTCTAAGCCAATCCTGGAAGCTGTGGCGGTGCGACAGGTCATCCGAATGAATTCGATTCGGGAGGTTCCGAGAATTTGAAGTCTGGCCGAAGCTGTGGTTGGGATACTCCTTGAATCTCCTTGGGCTTGTCCCCGGGGGTGGGGACAGTGTCAGCACAACCCACATGGCCTGAGCAGCAACCCCTGCTTTCACCTTGCCTATTTCAGTGGCTTGGATCGAGCCCGGTTTGGAAGTGTGAAAGGGGTGGCTTCCCGTCCCACAAGAGCCAGGGGTTCAAATCCAAGTCCAGACCACCAAGCTACACCAAAGGGCTGCCTGAAGCTTTGAAGTATGTTGACTCGCAACGGACGCAGGCCAGGCCGCTGGCTGTGTGGTGAACGAGTCCCTTGGCTCGAAGATTGTGGACAAAAAGAGCTGCGCATGATGTTGATGTTGACTGAATCTGGGGGTTGTCAAAGTCAAGAATCGGGTATTTCGCTCTTGAGGGAAGGCAATTTGTTTGGCGGGGCTGGCTCAAGCTGGCGGGCATGGGGCTTCGTGTTGCTTTTTGCCTCAATGACAAGGACCCAGCAATCTGATAAACATCAGGCAGCCCTGCGGAGCGCCTCCGAATCACCAATCCAAGCCATGAATTAGAGGTATGTTGTTTTCAAACGCCATGGTATTGACGTGCTCTCGTCTTTCAGGTCCGGCGTGCCAGTGGGCGTCATCACGGAGGATGACATTCTTCACAGCGCCTCTGAGTACAATAGACTTTGCATGGGTGTGTGCTGTTTGATGGTTGTGATTCTCAAGGGGAAGCGAAAAGCCCACGATCTTTTGTGCCTTATTATTTGTGCAATGGTCGGAGACGTTCACGCCCAATGAAGTCATGGTCAGAAGAGACGAGAGAACATGCCAGTCCCGCTATTAATAAAGTTATGCGGACATGGAGTTGTGATTTTACAGAGTTTGATTTACTCCCTGAGTTCCTGGTTTGTAGTCACTTTGGGGGCTTGGACCATTTTGCTGGCGTCCCTGAAAACTTGGTTACTTTTTTTGGGCCCATCTCGTTCGGAAGCGAGTTGAAGCACCCAACTGCAGGCTATGTGCAGGGAGCTCCGTGGGACACCACCGTGGGGGAGTGGGTGCGAGGAGGCGGATTGAGGGAGACGGAACCAAAATCCTTGCGGTTCAGCTGGTAGGTCCTTTGTCTCCTAACCTCCATTGGTTGATTTTTTGAAGGACCATACGTAGCAGTCAGGGTTCTCCTTTTGGGGAACCTATGTTCAACCCCAAGTCCTGGTGCCTTTGTCCTCCGCTTTCAGTGGAAAAGGCGCGATTTTGCGCCAAAGCGATTTTGCGACTCCTCAAGCGCCACTTCTGGAGCCTGTTGATCTTTGGTTCGCACGGACAAAATCCATACCGCACCACTTTGGAACCATGGACAACAATTGTTTGTTGGTGTTTAATCATCATAGGGTTTTCTTGGGTTGTGCAGGATTCGTCCACCGATTCGTAGGCTCCAGGCTCAGGGCTAGTGAGTGTAGTGCCTGAGAAACCACTACACCCAGCGATTTTGATAGAATGGGTTTGCGGCAAAAGAGTCGAACGTACAGCCAGGCACAGAATGAGGCAACCCCAAGGGCAGATTTCTCTAAGGATGAGGGAATTGTAGGCTCCATGTCAATCTCCAAAGGAGTGCAGTTGGGTAAACGCAGACGGCACAATTCCCCCCCTCCCCCATATTGGTTTAGTCATCTCCTTTACTCACCCACAGAAAGTTGGGCTCTGCCATCAACTTCCTCCCTGGCACGTGGTAACCAAACATCCGCTCTGCTCCTACTCCTACTCCTACTCCTTCTCCTGCTCCTGCTGCTGCTGCTCCTCCTACTGCCACTGCCAGCTACTGCCAGTGCCACGGCCACTGCTACTGGTTTTTGGGTTGAGTGTCGCGCAGGCGGCGGTGTTCTCTTCGACCCATCTCCCGCAGATGGCAGCGTAGTGTCAGAGCAGCCGCTTGCTCAGACGTATGCGGGGCCAAGTCTTTTCCAGTGATTCCGTTCCCTGGTTTTGTAGGAGGATCCTAATGCCAGCCTACAAAAGGCAAGGTTTGGCCCTGACAGGGTTTGAATCTGCTTTGTGAATCGGTCGGGAGGGAGCGGTCGAGCTAAACCTTCATCGTGTCGCCGACCTGAGCAATCAATGCCCGACACATCCGTCAGCCGTCCTCGCAAGGATTCCAAGTGATTTCGCAGATGAGTCTGTGTGTGTGAGGGCAGCCTTTTTGATGGTTTAAAAGGAAACCCAAAAGGAAAGCAATTGGTTGTTTTGCAGGTCCAAATCTCTACTTGGACACACACACACACACACACACACACACACACACACACACACACACACACACACACACACACACACACACACACACACACACACACACACACACACACACACACACACACACACACACACACACACACACACACACACACACACACACACACACACACACACACACACACACACACACACACACACACACACACACACACACACACACACACACACACACACACACACACACACACACACACACACACACACACACACACACACACACACACACACACACACACACACACACACACACACACACACACACACACACACACACACATCCGCACATGCGCGCGCACAACTGCGCCCAGGCCCCTGCACTCGGCACTTCCGGCGCTGGTGGCCCCGCGCGTGGTGCCGCGTATGGGGCGCATGGGCGGCCGCTCAGCGCTGCTCGTGGAGCGACGCCCCGGGTACGAGGGCGGAGTGCGGCTCGGCGCGCGGGCCCGGGCTCGCTGGTCGGTCTCCGGTTGGAGCTTCCCCTCAAACCCATACAACCAGTCATTTTAGCGTGTGTTAAAATGTCTAGCTGGTGGTTGAACCCATACAAGGATTCCCCTATTTTTGAGAAAACTCGCCATGTCAGTGTGTCTTAAAATGTCTAGCTGGTGGTTGGAAGGGAGCTGTTCCGGAGCTGGGGGTAATGGTTGACCCAAATTGGATGATGACAATCCTCAGACAAACAATGGTGGTTATATGAACCCCCATTCTTTTAAAGGTTCTTTGAACCCCAGGGATATTGATCAACCTACGAGAGACGGATCGCCCTCTCATCCGCCGTCCGCCCGAGGCTGTCGGCACAGGACGTGGTGCGCGGCCTGGCGCGGCGCGCGGCTTCCGAGAGCCTGCGGACGTCGCTGGGCCTGGGGCCCACGGTGGCCGACATCATGGAGCCTGTCGAGCGGGCGCGGAGCACGGGGGCGGGGGGGGGCTCTTTTGCTCTGGAAGGACTTGGGGGGGGGGGGCTGGGGTCGAGACTTCTGGAACTCAGACATTCTAGTGGCTGTTAACAGCTTTGGTTCCTTTTGTGGGGGGCGTTGAGAAGTGAGGAGTCATTTTCCTTCGTCTTTCAACTTGAGCGAAACGAGAACGTAGCGCGGCTTCGATGGTTTCGATGGTTTTGCGGAGGCGCCGAGGCTGCGGGTGGGCTTCACCATGCGCGAGCTTTTGCAGGCCGGCAAAGGAAACCTCGGTAATGTCGTGTTATTTGGCTCGGTCCCCCAGCCAGGTTCCCTTTTACCGTTTCTTTCTTGGTTGGGAGGGTTCCCCTACTAAAATAGACTACAGAAAAAAGGGTACCCTTATTCTAACCTCTCTACTGGAGGACCTAGTTGGGTTTGATGTTTGGGGTATGCTTGACGGGTCATTCATTGCCTACCCGCTGAACAGAATGCTCGGTTCGTTTCTGTACCAGAGGTTATGCTCCACTTTTGTCCACAATCCCAACTCAACTGTAGGCAATACATGGGTCTGTTTTTTTTTGGGGGGGCACCCCCTTTTTGGTTGGTTGTAAGGGAAACCAAGAGAGGAAAACCACCATTCCGCCCCTCAAAAGAGATACGCCCATATGCCGACAAATTTGACCTCAGGTTGTTTTTGTGGATTAATGTCCAGCATGCATAGTGTTGGACAATCCCCCATGATTTGTGCGGTTCTCCTGCCAAATGGGAACCACAACCAAAGGACTATAGAATCCCCCACCAAAAAGGACCACACCCTGAGTGCGGTTGTCCATGGTTCATCCGGCGACAACAGTCCAGGTGAATGGCTTGTCCAAAAGTACCCCTCCAAAAGGGGACACCCACTGCGAATCACCCGGGGTTTTGTTAATCCTGGCCCAGTTGATTGCTGCCCAGATTGAAAAACGCATCTTGTCAATGTCAACTTCGGATCAATCCAGGGGACGAACCAGGGGTGGTTCCTCAAGGATTTGTTTTGTGGGAATTCATTTGATAAATCCGGATTGTACCGAAGAATTAGGGGCATTCTCCACTTTCGACACCCGCTATTTGCAAGCCTTGGCTCAATGTTACCAGGAAAGCTGGCATGCTCTTGTGCACTGGAAGAACTGGCAGCAGATCAGGGCAAATGTCTTTGCTCCAACAGTTTTTGCCCTGGTTTTCTGTTGGTTTTCTGCAAAGAAGGATCCTAGGGAATTGCCACTAGAGACACTTGGACCTATTGCCATGTCGTGTAGGCTTGAAGTTAGCAAACCAAAGTCTTCGATGGGCGCCGCGATACCCAAAATAATTTGGATTGGAAGTAGGTTACTTCGTCACTTTGTGATAAAACCTTTCTTCTCTCCTCAAAACCAAACCTTTGAACGTGTTGTCAATCCCCGGAAGCTGCTATTTCACGTGTTCTAAGCCAAACTGTTGTTTCCCCGGACTTGGAAGACAGAGGAGCTACTGGCCCCGTTTGATAGCTTTTTTTTCAATAGTTGTCACGGAAGTTGCAATTCCCGCGACCGTCCCTAAGTTGGCGATCTAGGTTGGCGGCTTAAAGATGCTGGGGTAAGTCCTACTGGACTTGGGTAAATGGGTGTTCCATACCACAACAGTTCAACTTTTAGCAGGGGAGCAGATTTCGCAACCGAGATAAGTCAAAGCAAACTGGCGTAAAAGAATCCAACTGCCCCTCCACTTCAAACCACTCTCTCCTTGCTTGCGGGGCAGCAAGGGAATGGGGAGTGCCTTTCCGTCCGACGTGTTGCCAAGAGCACTCAGAAGGTTTTTTTTCCCCAGAGTCCTTTCTTTTTGCCTACTTGGGTTAATATTGATCCCGGAAGGATCTAAGGAGGATGTTCCCCCCAAAACAGGAGCTTCCCTCCAAAGCTGAACCCAAGAGACCTTGCAGGGGCGCTCACAAAGTGGCAGCCATGATTTGACCCACCTGTGATGGCAGGTATCAGCAGATCCCCAGCCCCATTTTCAACAACACGTTTTTTGGTCGACTAATGTGTTTGTTGTGATTTCCTAAGGCACGCCAAGGCTCGACACTCCAAGCTTTGGAAAACACTCCGCTGTTGAACACACCCTTGAATTTGGAATTGCGGAATTACGCAATATTTCGGACAAACCCTCCTTTTCAAACCCATTTGTTAGACTAACTTAGAACCTTCATGTTTGCATGCTGGTGCTCAGTAGGGAATCTGGGAATGAACCCAGGGACCGATCGCGAGATTGAGTTGGATGCTGAAATCCTCAATGTCCAACTAATTCTGACCTTCAGAAGGGGGGGTCATTAATACCGGGGTCGACATTCGCATCAAAACCTCCCATGTTTGACAAGGGATGGTTTGTAAGGGTCATTCCAACTCATGCACTGCTCGCACCGACCAGTTTGAGACGGACTGAGGAGCTGCTGGCCTCGCCCTTGCGCGCCGCCTTGGTCCTCGACTGTGACGGAACCATCGGCGGCCTTGCAACCGTCGCGGAGACTCGGACTCGCGTCTCGGGACTCGCGCCGCGGGTCTTTGATCGCGGTTGAGGTTTCAGGGGAACGGCAAACGCGACGAAAGGAGTGTGCTTGTGTGTGTGTGTGTGTGTGTGTGTTTCTTTTAATATATATATATAAATAGAAGACCCACAAATGACAGTTGTTTGTTTTCTGTAGGGGACCTCCCCAAAATGAGGGTTGTCCTTGTTGGTTTCTGCCCAAAAAAGCAATACTCTCAAAAAAGACACCCCCACGTGTAGAAAACAACTCGAGTTTCTCACGCGGTGGGAAAGAGGATCTTCCGGCTTTGGGGCCAACTGAAACTGGAACACCAAGGGAATCCAAATTGTGGAAAGGGGGATTTTCCAAAATCATGGGGTCCCATGTTATATGTCACATGTTCCAAAATAGTAATGGGATTTTCCAAAATAATGGGGTCCAAAATAATAAGGGGGATTTTCCAAAATGAATTTCCGCACAATCCATGTAGGTATTATATATGTCGAACTTGTCGAACTCTCCGATTCAATTGTAGCCTCTCAGGGCAACATTGGTCTTGTGAATCCCAATGTTGCTTCTCAGGCCTACGTTTGCGAATGTAAGCAAATATCGCTTGCATTGGAGTGTGTGATTCTTGAAGCATCCAAGGAAGGGCTGAGCAAAAGGCACATATCCGCATGCACAAATTATTATGGTTATATTATTTTGCAGCAGACCAGAATCTTCCAAATGGTGCGAATGTAGCACAGCAGTTGAACCCCCAAATGGCGATGTTTTCTGTTTGACAACCACAAACAGTTAAACAGCTGGCATGTGGGGCTGCCTCAAAGTAGCCAACCCCCAAAATGGCGAGGTTCCTTGGGTTTCCGTTTAAACCAATCCTGAGAAGGGTAGCTTCAAAAACAGACACTTTCACGGAAGTGTGTCAAGACGCTCTTTGAGACAAGGAATCAGCAGCCATGGCCCAAGGTGTATTGGCCGATGTTTGTAGTTTCGCATGGCCAAAGGTTCCCTTGTTGGAGCTCTCCAGCTCTTGAGTATCAACCCCACGACGCGCCTATTGGCGCGTGAAAGGACTCTGGCTCTGCGGGATGTAGCATCACAGTTGCGAGGCTCTAAAGTTTATTTAGCAAAAGGAGAATGACCGACTAGAGTTTCGGCAGTTTTCCGGTGGGACCAGATGTCATCCCTTGCATAGCAGCCAGTCCATTCAAGGTGGCTCCTTTTCCTGGATCCCCTAAGGCCGTTTAAGTGGTGGTATCAAAGGGCAAGCATCCCCGCGGGACCCCCTCCAAAAAATTCACTTGGGTTGTCTCAAAATATTAGAGCCCTCTAAAATTGGTGGTTGCAACTTGTGGTTTCCTTTAAAACCCACCCCAAACAGGGACCTTCAAAAAGACAGACCCTGGAGGGATTGTCAGTGCTTGCTATGTCAGGATGCCCTATGGGCCTTCAACCAGCAGATGTCTCAAACCTTGGATGCCTGGGACAGGCTTTCCTCCAGGCAGGCGGTGCCCGACTGTTGGTGAAGAAAGAAGGATCCCTAGAAAGAATGGGGAAGCTGCCCTTAGAGAGACGGGTAGCCCAGGCGGTCGTTATGCACTTGCCTTTCCTTGTGCAACCATTTGCACGTGCCCCCGCTTTGGACTGATGACTGCTAAGGAAAACAACCCCTTTGTGTGTGTGTGTGTGTGTGAGCAACTTCGGTGTGGAAATGAGCCCCCGCGGTGATGCCATTCAAAAACTGCGCCTGGACAAGACGAGCTGTCTTTGAGAAGGCTGATTTCCCAACGGATCCCAAGGACCCACACATCCTCCCCTACTGTGGATGGTCGAAATCCTGCACCACCTAAGAAACCCTGGGATGATGATTTCTCTGTAAATACCAACAAACACTGGTTTCCAATGGTTTGAAAGTGGTGCAGGATTTCGTCCATCCTCCCCCTATGACCCTATGAACCGCAGCCGTCGCGCGGCTTATTCAGATAGGTATAGCATAGCCGAGGTGCTGGATGTGAATGATTGGGCCGGCCCTTTGGCTAAGGAAATCCAACAGGAAGCTAACCGCGTTGACATCCATATGGGTGTGGCTCAAAATTAAACGATCGGAGGGGCAAACCGCAGGTTTTGGTCCATGTTTCCACTTACCAGGGTTCCATTTTGGTACCGGTTTTCTGAGCCACAGCCATATCCTTAGACAAAGCCTATGTATCCTTTGCACATGCACATGTTCCAGTCGGGTAGCTTGTGAAATTGTGATCCGAAGGATCCGAAGCTTGCGGTAGGTTGGGCAGGTTCAAGCTCAGTTGCTTCATGGCTTGGTTTGATTCCCCAAAAAGCAATCAACCACAGATGTTGTTTTCTCTGTCAAGTTGCTTAGTGGCTGTTTTTGGTTTGGTTCCCCAAGAATCAATCAACCACAGAAGTGGTTTTCTCTGTCAACCACGGACCACCTTTTGGTCAGAGTGCCCAGTGGGAATGAGGGCCCCTTCTCACTTCCCAGGACACAATGCATGCCTTCTTCATGGTTGTTGTTGGGAAACATTTTGCATTTTTGCTTATTGTGGTTTAGGGGGGAAAATCACCACTGAACTGCTAAAATTGTTTGTTTTGCTCCCCTTCCAACGTCAACCAAGTTTTGAAAGAATAATCCATGGAAAGAATGGGGGAAGTACCAGAGCACGAGCAAGTTTCGGGTGTATGTCTCCAGGCATTTGCAGCCAAAAGATTTGCTCTTTGCCAGCGACAGCGGTGAGCCGCAATTGGCCTGGGTGCCAATTTGACTCGAGGAAGCGGGACGAGGACAGTTCAATGATTCCGTTTCTTTGTACAGTCGGAAAAGGGAACCACCCTTCAACAACCAAAACAGCAATGGTTGGCTGCCAACTAGAATAGCCTATTATTGGCAACTGGGACCACTGGACATTTTGTTCACACCCCTAGTTGCGGCCCAGTATCTCCTAGCAAATGCAGCTCGTTTCTCAAGCGCTTTTTTTCAGGCGCCCAACTTGCACAATAGGACCCCTTTGGAAACAGGGTCTAACAACCTTTTGCTGGGCTGGGAGCAACCCAGGGCAGGTGGCACTTTTGCGCCAAACGCCTCACCCCAAAAACAGCCCCAAACAATCTTTCGAAGAGACCTTCCAAAGACATCTGACATCACCCAAAGACATCCCCACCAAGACGCCCTCGGAAGACACACCCAAAAACCTCCCCGAAAGACATCTCTCGCCTTTGCCAGGCCTGGCCGTGTGGACCGCCAGAACATCGCCGCGGATGCCGCAGTGCCAAATGCCTGCAGCGCGTTGGAAGGCGTGAACACGTGGAAACAGGCGGAGGAAAAAGAAAAAACTTTTGGAGCAGTCCGCTTTTTGGAAAAACATGTGGACCCTTTTTGGGACCTGGTGCCGCCTTGTGCCGCCTTTTAAAGGCGATACCCAAAAGGGCCCCCTTCTTTCGACAAACCTTCACATGTGGTACCCAAAAGAAAAGTCGACCTGGAAGCCAGCAGCCGCATGTTTTGGCGCAGTGAGCAAATGCCGGCAATGAGTTTAAGATCCAATCCTTTTTGATATTGCCCGCTTCGGAACCGAGGATGACTCCATGTACGAGGGATTCCTTCACTTCACCACCCCTTTAATCCACCAGGTTGATGAGTGCGCGGTTCACATGATGAACGCTACTCCCCTGTGAACAGGGTTGCTTCAAAGACCAAAAGGAAGCCAAAAAGACTCACCAATTTTCTGCGCGGCAAACCGCCATTTCTTGAGGGTCCTAGGGTCCCTAAATCTGTAAGGTGATCTGGCACCTGGAAGTGTGCGTTGCCTGAAGCAACGTTTTCGGCGAAACAAAACGCGCCTCTGCACTTGCTCCATGTGGGTGGAAAACTTGGGGGGGGGGGGCAGTCTTACAATTCATCTATGTATTTCTTCCATGTCCCCGTGGGAACTCAGGGAGGGGGCCTCCAAAGAGCTCCCAGTTCCCAACCTCTCCCCCGGGGCAAACTTCCTGTGAGGCGCCCGCCACTTGCTGGCCACGGAGCGCGGGGATGTGGTGGGCGTGGTTTCCCCGGCACACTTGGCACCTTGGCCGCACCTCCGAAAGCAAACGTGAATGCTCAACTCCGCGAGTTGTCCAGCGAAATGGTTGCCAGTTCTGTGGGCTCTCCCTTCGCAGATCCCTAAAGAATTCGGTTTGTGAGGGACAACTTCAGGTGAGTTTGTGGTCAAGTTACGGTCCCCGGAACTTGAGACATGTGCCTCAGGAAGATGTTTACCCCCGGGGTCCTTGGAATTCAGCCGAACTGAGCCACTTGCTCAAAACCAATTCGGGGAGATGATCCGGTTAAGGGACAGTCCCAACCAGAAATAGCCGCGGAACTCCGGCTTCTTAATTCTTGAAGCATGGTTCTGGGTAGACCATTTTAATACCGGGTTTTGAGCAAGTGACTCAACTAGCTTTTTGTTGGGTTTGGACTGTTCGGGTTTCAGCTGAGGTCTCCGCACGCTGCCGAGCCAGACCTGTCCCCAGCGCCGCGCCCTACATTGAACTGCAACGCCAGGAGAGATTCGCATTTCGTCGGAAGGCTCCGACAGCGGCGGGTTTCGCGAAATAAAAGAAGTTTGTAGTGTGGGGTTATTCTTATCGTTGTGTTTTGTGAGTTACGGTACTGGTATAGTTATCCTTTGCATTGTTACGTGTTTCTTTTGGTTTGCACTCTTGCAGCTTCCGGCAGCCAGCCTCAGCCTGTCCAGGTCCCTGAGTCAATGGCTTGTCCTTGCAGTTCGGCGGTCAAGCAGATGCCAATGTCAGTTTTATTCTGGGTGTTTTGTTTGCTTTGGTTTGTTTGTTGAGTTAGTTCTTTGACTTGTTTGCTTGTTCCATTAGTTGCTTGCTTGCTTTTGTTGTTGTGTTCAAAATGAAACAAGCAAGCATGGCGCAAGGTGTGCTTGACATATTTGTGAAAGCGATAATTTCGACACCAAGGGGGCAACCTTGCCCGGAGGCCCAATGCCAAATGGGCGCAACTTGGCACCAGGGTCCAAGAAGGGCATCTGTGGGACAACTGCTTAGACCTGTGCGGCTGCATGCAGAGCGCAGGAGAGGCCTCGAAAGGTGAAGGAAGAGGAAGGCGGGAGATGCACCCAGGATTTTTGTGCAAGTGGTCTCACGCTGTGGGGGGCGGTGTGCTAGATGCCACATTGGTGTAGTAGCAACGTGAAGGTGAGTATTGGAATCCCGCCATGAATCAACCCGTCCAAAGCTCACCATCCCCACCCCCGTAACTACCGAAAATGGGCGGGGAGGAGGTCCACAAACGGGCAGCATTAAACAAAAAAGAAGTTACTCACAAGAAAGTAGGCCCCCAAGGAAACATGTAAGTTACCTTTTGAGACGCCAAGGTAGGAGCTCACCCGCTCTGCGGCCGGAAGCTTGTGCCATCCCAGAAATGGTCGCAGTTCCCTGGACACGTTGCCAGCATCCTTTGAGTGTCCTTCATGTTGCCTTTTTTGCCAACTCACGACTCACGGCTGACAGCGAGTGACAGATCGAAGCCCACATTCCTGGTCGATCAGAGTTCAGGCGTCCGGCAGAGTTGTTTCCCCCGGATCTATAGAGGGGACTTGCTGAAACCCATTCGGGTAAGGTGGGGTAGGTTGCTTGTTGCAAAGGGGCCAGGCGGTCTTGTTTCTTGAAGGGAGCATCTCTGTTCTGAAGTCGCCCAGCATTTTGATGCGCAGGACGCAGTGACGCAGCCAAGCTGGATTGACAGTCAAAAGGGAGCCACAAGTTTGCAAAGGTTGCCTATTGTTGCTTATGACCAGAGATCCTCCGCACGGCCAACATGCAGGGCCCTTTCTTGAAGTAATGTTCATTGCAAGTGTTTCGAAAGCATCGGCGCCCCGCATGCTGATGCGATCGCTTGGTGGAGCCAAAGGTTCATTGGGCCCGAAATGTCACATGTCACAATGAACTGCATGGCATGCGCAGTTTGTGACATTCCAGAGCCATGCCAACAGACGATATGACCATTAGCGGTTTTCAGCCATAACCCAGACTTAGGATCTTTACAGCTCAGAGGGATTTATGACCACCCCCCCCCCCCCCGGCAGCAGCAACTTTTGGCAAGGGATCAGCGAAGAAGGTATCGGCGTTGGGTGGTGTGCCCTGGGATCGGTGGGTTTTTGGGAAGGGTTTGAGGACCACTTTCTACCGGCGAACTTCAAGGCTATCCCCTTCAAAGTGAGGTCGCCGGCTTGGATGGGAATCCTAGGGTATCACAGCTTGGCCACTGGGGATGAAACATCAGAGTCAGCAAATGTCCCACAAAACCAAGGGACCACCAAGTTTCCCATGTCCTCGTGGGAACGTGAGAGCTGTGTAGGTGCGGTGAAGAGGCAAGAGGATGTGAAGTTGGAGGAGCCCGCGCCGAAGAAGAGGGCAGTGATGGTGAAGCATCTCGACTGGAGAGTGATGGTGGACCCTCCAGTTTGTTGCATTTTGCTTGGATGTTAGGACTTTAACGGTTTGCCCACTAATGGGTTTTCCTTTAAACCACTAAAGGTTCCACTTTTAGCAGGGGAGCAGACAGCAACTGAGAGTTAGGCTCGTGTTTGAAGTAATGGGATAGTGAACGTAGAACTGCTCCTTACATACTGTGTGCTCTTTCGTGAAGCTTGAAGTTGAAGACTTCACTTGAACGTTGAATTTGAGCCTCGTTGCTTTCGAAGGAATGCTGCTCTCCGGTTTCTTTTGCAATGACTTGCTTCTGGAAACTATCATGACATCTCAAGCACTCGCAGTTGCAACACACACACACACAACCTTCACCCTAGGAAGCACTGGTGCGTTTTGTACATCACACATGCCAACATACACAAAACATGTACAGTAACGATACAATGTATATGAGTTAGCATCAACATTACCGTCATGTACTTTATATGGGGGTGTTTCATGCACGTATTGTGTTTGCGTTGTTGCTCGAAAAACGATACGGGACGTCCAAAAAAACGATACCCCTTCAGCAAGTTGGCATTGGTTGCAAACAAAAATGTCTTGTTAGTTTGTGTGTTCTCCTAGAGCATGTGTTTATTTGCTTGGTCGAGACTTGCAACTAGGCCCTTCCTCTGCAAGGGTTGCAGGAGGGGGATCAAAAGGGAACTTCACATTTGGAGCACCAGCTGGCTTGTGACAAGACACGTGTGGCAAAAACAAGCTGTGCTTGAACGGGGCGAACGTTTCTAGCATGTGTCCACCGCATTGCAGGGGTAACTGCCGGCCAGCAAAAAGCATTACGAGTTGTAGTTGGGCAAAAGTCTTTCTTGCAGCGTTTGCAGTTTTGAAGGGGATGTAAAAGTAGTTCTCCGTTCAGTCAAGGAAGTTTAGAAGGGGTGCAACTGTAGTTCTCCGTTTGGTCAACGAAGTTAAGAAGGAACTTGCGCAATACTGGAACTTGAGCGAGCTCTTTCGAAGAATGCGTGCATCTGCACTCTGCGCATGAAAAAGCTACGAAAAAGGCTAGAAAGCGCGAGAGCTGGAGGGTGGCGTCCATAGACGGAAACCAAGACGGCAGCTATGCATTCTGAGGATGTCCCGCTGGCTTGCCCTTTTGCTGGCCACGCAAGGTGCTTGGGAGGTTACCTTTCTTCGGCCGCAAGCAAACTGCAGGACTGCATTTTGCACTCTCCAGCGCTTCTCTGAGGCTCCTTAGAGCGGAAGTAAGACAGTTGTCAAACAGCGCCGCTTCGAGAAAAAACCGACCACCAAAACGATACCCCAAAACGATACCCCGACGATACCCCCGCAATGGGGCAGGATGCTAAATGTCGGGGGTGGCCCACTTGACACCAAAGCGCTACCCCTGCAGTTACGAGGAGACACACATTTGGGGGTGGCTTGTGAAAAAACTGCAATGCTGGAGAGCAAGGATTGTAATGCCAGGAATTGCCAGGCAGCCTCGCAGCCGTGCAGCCACAAACTGGCGGCGCTGGGCTGACACAGGAAGAATCACGATGGGTTGAGGAGTGCGTGTTGAGGAGAAGTGGAAAGCTTTGACCCAGGAGGGGCAGCATGCTCGCATAGAGAGAGCTGCCTCGGCTCCAAGGGCTGAGCCGAACAGCGCGGAAAAGCAATTGTCAAGGTGATCGCGAAGAGTGCCCGCGAGAAGGTGAAGAAGACCACCGCGGTGAGGAAGCCAGCCTCGCGGCTCCAGCGCCGGCGGTGCCGCGGGGGCGTGACAAGCATCTTTGGACGCAGCCTCGTCCTTTCTCCCCAAGCGGCTGCACGTGTGCCCTGGGTGTGAAGCGAACAACCCCAGCTCCAGCAGCCAAGCGGGTGAGGAACTACATTGACGCAACACTGCGTGAGTTTGCTGGCACGCCGACTTGCGGAGGCAACGAGATGAGAGAAAGCGTGGCGGACCCAGCAAGGGGGGAGAGCTGATTGAGAAGAGGTGCAAAGCTAGGCAAAAGCAGCGGCGCAACAGCCGTTGGAGGAGGACTCTGTGTCAAGTGCAAGTTCCTCCTCCTCAAGTCTGAGGGGGACTAAAAGGAATCTGCGGCCCGTGGTGTGAGTTGCTTTGCTTGCAGGGATTGCGCTTTGGCCGCCGTGTGGCTTTATACCGGGGAACGCCCGCTTGTGGGAGCTGCCATTCCGTTGCTGTTTCGTTGGCGCTGTCCCCGCAAAGAATCGTTTGGTAGCAAGCACGGGGGCAGGGATGTGTCCCGTATCCACGGCCTGCAAAACGATACGGGACGTCCTTTTTAAGCAAAACCTGTAAAACGATACGGGACGTCCTAACACCAAATGAATACACCCCAGACAAGTAATTTTGACGCTGTCTCATATACATATATATATATATATAAATATATATATATATATAGATAGTACCCCCCCCACCAAAAAAAACACTAGGAAACCTAGTTTTTTTTTGTGGGGGGGGGTAGCATATATATATATATATATATGGAATATCCAGTATGCACACAAGTCGCTCTTGATATCTAATGACTTGCTTGTGGCCTTGAACCCAGCCATCACCACCCTTTTAGCAAGGTATGGACCACTCCCCATATATGTTCCCTAGGTGCAAGGGAAATTATTTTGGATTTTATTTTGTTTGGAAGGGGGGGGCACATATTTGCCAGTTGGGGCCTCATTAGCATAGCGTTCTCCCAGCAGCACAAAGCAGGACGCCGTTTTGTGTTCGGGTTGTGGGAACGAGGGGTTGGTTCCCACTTCTATACCCTTTTGGAACCAGTCATTTGGAAGGACTGCTGTGGTATCACAGTGGTGCAGTTGCAGCTTGGTTTCTGTAATCTATTCTTAATATCCAATGACTCACTTGGGTCAAAGGCGGCATTTATTAACATTGCGCTTCCACCAGCACCAGGCACGGTGGTAGAAACCGCAAGTTTATTCCTGTGACACCAAGGGGATCCCCTTACAAGTGATAACATCATCCGTCATTGGGAGTGGGATCCCAGTTGAGGTATCACAGATTTCGGGTCATTTCCCACAACCATGGCGCGAAGTGGGTATGTGTGAAAATAACACCCACCCACCCCCCTCCCAACAAAAAACCATCCGTTTTCGTTTTGGTTTTCAACTTGAAATCAACCCTAGGACGCCTCCCAAAAAAAGACACGCCCTAGTCTCAGTTGCCCAAAGCGAATCGACCTCGTGGCCTTTTTGTTAGTAACGGTCCCAAAAGGTTGACCTTTTGTTTCCAGTGCCAGCCGCGCTAAGCTTGACCGGTCAGGCTGCGTTGAGAGAGAGAGGTCCAAACTGGGCAAGCGAGAAGTGGCCGTGGCGTTGCATCCGAGGCCAAAAGTGGTGACCGAAGACGAGCCGCAAGCAGTGACGCTTGCCGACGTGGTGGCACGCCGGGAGACGGCCCATTGCTCCTCAGCGGATGCGGAGGCTTTTGTTGAGGGTTCCCTTCTTGGAATGGTTTGAAAGAGCTTCGTTTTGTGGATGCTGGTACACTTGTGTTGGGAGTGGTTTGAAAGATCTCTTTAAACATGGTACTCTTTTTGGGGATGATGAGAACTACAGAACCTCTAGCCATTTGAAGACTCATCGGTTTGGACAAGTGGGTGAGTTGCCACTGTTAAAGGGGAGTCAGGGGTTAGGGGTTGAAGCCAAAAGTCGATGAACAACCCAGAGGGGTCCGTTGCCAGTTCATATATGTTTTTTTTGTTTGGGCTTGTGTTAGATGGCAATCAGGGAGGTTGTCGTTTCGTGGGGGTTCCTTTTGGAGACAACGTTACTTACATGTTTGCCCTTTGAAGCACATGTTGGAAACAATTTGACTCTATCAATCAGGTATTGGTCTCAGGGTGTCTTGCCTGCGCGTCCTCACTAAGGAGCCCTCCAAAGGGTAGGTTTGCTTTTTTAGACCCCGCAAACCATCATCAAAAGGGTCGAACATGAACTTTTAAAGTGAGCGACCCGTTGGTGTTGCCGGTGTTTCAATGAACACCAAAAGGACCCAAGAAAACAACGAAGAGAACAAACTCCAACTTTGATGCGACATCCCCAACTGCGGAAGTGGGTGGCTTCCTTTTGGTTTGCCGAAATCGGAATCCCCGAGACGGATCTTCCAGCCTCCAGCCCGGTGAGCGCCTCTCCTTAAAAGACTTATATTCCCAGGTCCGAGACGGATCTTCCCGCCTCCAGCCCGGCGAGCGCCTCTCCTGGGAACGAGAAATCCCCGAGACGGATCTTCCAGCCTCCAACCCGGTGAGCGCCTCTCCTTAAGAGACTTATATTCCCAGGACCGAGACGGTTCTTCTCCACAATGATCCGTCTCGGACTATTATAGATTTTTTTTATTCTAAGGTGAGGCGGTCACCGGGCTGGAGGCGGGAAGATCCGTCTCGGACCTGGGAATAAAGGTCTGGCGCTCACCGGGCTGGAGGCGGAAAGATCCGTCTCGGACCTGGGAATATAAGTCTTTTAAGGAGAGGCGCTCGCCGGGCTGGAGGCGGCCCGGCATGCGTACCGGTATAAATCAAAAAGTATGTGTATATATATATATATATATATATATATGTTCCAGGCCGTGGACCCCCCCCCCCTCTCCCCCCCCAACCCCCCCCCCCCTGTGGGGTGGGGTGGGTGGCGTGGGTGGTTGGGTGGTTGGGTGGTTGGGGTGTGGTTCGGAGTTGGTTTAGGCTTGGTGGGTTGGTTTGGGGTTGGTTCAGGGTTGGTTTGCGGTGGGTTTCGGGTGGGTTTGGGGTTTGGGTTAATTTAGGCTTAGGGTTGGGGTTAAGGAGGGGTTGCAGGGTGGTTTGGTTTAGGGTAGGATGTTGCGAGAGGTGGGGGTGTTGGTTCTCGGGGTGAAAGGGGGAGTCTGGGACCGAAGCTGCAGGGCTCACACAGTACTGGACAGCATCCCCAGCATTGCCAGCATCATCCCCAAGATGCGGATGATGCGGGGGAGTGGGGGGACCATACCATTGGGGGTACATGGCCCAGGGACTGGTACATATATATATATATACATATATATATATACATATGTATATATACACACATACACATATACATATATAAACATGTATATACTATATATATATATATATGTATACAACATACACATAAATACCAGGGGCGGGTACACAACTGGACAAATCGAAGTTCAGTTCCTCAGCAGGCTCGGTCTCGGACACGCTGTCGGACGCTGTGGACCAGTTGGTGTGCACGGGGCGCACCGCAGCTGTGGTGCTGGACGGTGACCAAATCCAAGGATCGAGTTGGGGACCGGCGTCATACTGTGGATGGTTGCGAAATCCATTTCGCGCCACCTAAGAAACCATGGTTGAAACCATTGTTTGTTGGTATGTACAGGGGACTCATCAGAAACCAGAGTTTCGTAGGTGGTGCGAAATGGATTTCGCAACCATCCACAGTATCACTGCCTTGGCAGAAAGCCAGTTCTAAACAGGTTCTGATTTTCAGACAGTTCCGATCGCTTGCACCCAACAATCATGCAATCATGCGTGTAGCATCCGAAGGGGCTTCCGTTTGCGAGAGCCGCTAGGGTCACTTTTGCAGGTTTTGCCAAATTTCTTCAATATTACTACGGTTTGAGGATGGAATTTGGGGTCCAGAAACGCAACGGGTAGTCTCAAATGAGGAAATTGGCTGGGGTCCTCATCTGAGGAAACACAACCAAAAGGTGGTTACCCTAAGATAGAACAACCCATAAGGCGTGCGTTGCCCTGGTTTTGTTGGCTGGTACCCTTTCTTGGGGCTTGGTAGCAAAGGGAAGCCGCTTATTTTGGGGGTCCCCAAATTTGGGAGGCAACACCCAGACGAAGCTTGCGGATGGTCTTCTTGTTGCACGTCGGCGCTGCAAAATTTACATCCTTGTGATTGCTTGTCGTATGTTCTGGCTATATTTGGTTAATGCCAGGTTTGACAATCACTTAGTTTGGGCAAAGGGCTGTCTTCCATGATAAAAACAAAATGGGCTAGGTGCGTCGCAGGGCCAAATAAAGGTTTTGCTATATATATATATACATATATATTGTAGTTGTTGTGGTTTGCTATTTTCACTCATACATATATATATATATATACACATATATCACTGTCTATATATATACATATATATATATATGTATATCTACTAACAACCCATAGGGCCGCTGGGCAAATCCAGTGGCGTTTGGCTTCCGCCTTCCGTAGGAGTGCTCACGGAGAACGATGTGCTGGCTGCTTTGGTGGAAGGTACTACCTGGAACTGCAAGATCGGTGATTGGCTCAAGGGCAGCTTCGCAGCTTGGACGCCAACAGCTAGGGGGGTTTGGGGTTTTGGGAGCGCGGGGAGCCCATTTTTTGTTTCTCTTGGGGGGGGGGGGGTGGAAGGGGGGATAGGGTGAGATGGGAAACTTGTGTGGAAAGATCAAAGACTTGAGAGAACATGAAACCCAACCAGTTTTTTTTTGCAAAGGCGAGTCCTCCAAGCAAGGATATGTTGGGTAGAAGTAGTGATTCTAGGCCGGAAGCAGTTCTTGGGTGTTCATTAAAGTGTTTCATGTTGCAGATGGATGCCAATGCTTGGAGGCTCCTTTGGGTCACTCGTGGATAGTTGATGCTGAAAGTGGGTCATGTGTTGGACCATGTTCACTAGCATTCGCAGTCTTGACTTGGGCATCGAGGGCACAGGGTCCAAGAATCCAGTTTGAACATGCATCGCTGCGCGCTAGAGCAAGGCCCTACCCCTTTGATTTCCCAGGGGCGCATATGTTGGGAAACCAGGAAGACGGGATCTGACAACCTGAGCTGACTCACTGGGCACATGGAGCATGGTGCTTCAACAAATTCCCAGGTTCAGTTTCCCTTAAAGGTGACCTTCCAGGTTTGAGCTTGTCGATACCCTTAGACCATACTCTTGAACCTGGACTCTTGGATTTCAGACATTTGTGACTAGAACTAACCTACTCTCTGAACTCTTGACATATCCCACGCGCTCCGACTTGTTTCTCTTGGTTTAGAATTTGAGTTCTGTGATATCCCACGAACAGTTTAGCCTTGAGTTACGGCCATTTCCGCCCTCTGCCCTTTTCAGGGCGATTGTTGAAGAACGTGGGACATAAATTGGCCCAAGATTTCTCTTGGTTCTGTTTTTTTTTTTTTTTTGTGTGTGTGTGTGTGTGTGTGTGTTTGTCTGTGTTGGGAAAGATAACTGAAAGAACAGAAGACAAGAACTTGGAATCACCCCCCAGGTTAGTCTTGATACAATCTTATGTTAAATACAAGAAACACACATAACGCACAGAACACAATGCATCAACCATTCAGAAGGGTGCCCCCCAAGTTTTGTCAACACCCCCTCCCCTCCCCCATTTTGTATTAACCCCCCCCCCTGCACTTTTCGGTTTCGGACGCCCCTTTGTTTCGGAGAAGCTTTGCGCGAAGGCGCGGCTGCCGGGGTTCCTGGTGCCTGCCCTGACGCTGCCCTCCAGCGCCAGCGTGGCCGACGCCGCCGCGGAGATGGTGACACTCGTGGAGGCGAGCGGTTCGTTGGTCGGTCAGACTCGATCGGTTTTAATATTATACAGGGGTGGATCCACAAAAGCCACATCCAAACCGTTTTCTAGAGGGGTGGTCCAAACGAGGGGGGTTCCCTCAGGCTCCATTTGCTGAAACGTGTTTTTCTTTGTTCCTGGTTTTGAAGGGAATCGATTTCACGACTGGACATACGTTTCTCATTGTTTCTCGGGGGCGCAAAAGCACATGAAGTACTGTCTGCCTATTTTAGTGCGAGCTCACCGATCCGGGGGGAGCCATGATGAAGGTCCTTTTCTTGCTGATCCCTTAATTCAGCTTTTGGAATTAGTCAAATTTGCAGAGAATACTATGGATGGACGAAATCCCTTCGCACCACTTTAATGGTCGGACAGTGCCATCTATTTCTAAGCCAAACTAAGCTAAACAGGACACCTACTGTCGATGGGCGAAATCCTGCACCAGTCACGAAACCCTAAGAAGATGATTCCCGATCATGTCCAACAGTGGTTTAGATGAGTTTTCTTCCGTTTCCCCGGGGTCACCGATTTTTAGCAAAAGGCAACCTATGCTGGCTACCCGTTCAACCACGGAAATACTTTTCAGAACACCACCGTTCTGTTCAGGAATTCTCAGAGAATGCATGGTTGTGGTTGGGAAACATTTTACATTTTTGCTCATTGTGGTTTAGAGGGAAATCCCCCACTTAGATGCTAAAATTTAAATTTCTGCTCCCCTTCCAACGTCAACCAAGAATGATCCAAAGGTCATCGGGGAAGTGGGATGAGCAGAGTGACGGGAACGCCTAGGATGGCCTGGGCTTCGCCTGCCATCACCTGCTGGTGCACGCCAAGGCTTGCGAAAAAGACAACGCACTCGAGTTGGGACCTCTAGCCACGGTTGGGCTCAGAAAACGTGGTGTTTTTTAATGGTATTTTAGGTATGTTGGGCAGAACACACGGGATTTTTGGTGTTTTTCGGCCAATGTCTCAGCTTGTGCTGTTCGGGAAGATCGGCGTAGTGGCCAATCCACTGAAGTGAGGCTCGCTTTTCTTCGGGGAGGGTGTGTCACAAACTAAAGAAAGGGAACCGAACCGGTTTTTAAGGCAATGGTTGGATTCGCTGTCAATCTCAACCTGGGCTGATGGGTTTTTGGCCACTCTTGGCTGTTCCTCCAATGTTCAACTCCAAAGGATGGTTTTGTCCTTCCGCTTCCATCAGTTTGGGCATGACTTGTTTTTTTTCTTGAGATGTTGCAGTGGAGCTGCCTGACAGGGGATGTTCACCAAGCATGCTTGGATTCTTGATGGATAAGACAGCCCCAAACAGGTAGCAAATGGTCGCAAGAACCAAACCTCAAGTTTCTGTGCCGCTTCCACAGTCCCAGGAGGAGGGTGAAGCTCATGTGCGGGTGCTCTCAGCCTTGGACATCGCTCGGGGGATGGTGGAGACTGTGACGCAGGCGAGGCGCCGACAAGCGGCGAAGCCGAGGGACCTGCTGACCCCTGACCAGCCACCCGCCCTGACTTTAAGAACTTGTTGGAAAGACCAATTGAGTGGCAAATATAGCTTTTTAGACTTTTAGTGTTTAGTGGGGTTTCCATTTTGACCCACTAAAAGTTAAATTTTTAGCGGGGGATCTGAGGGCAGCCCAGAACAGTTTGGAGATTTTCAACTCAAAAAGTGAGCTCCGCGTCACCCCGCGGTAAGGGAAGAACTTAAGGCCCCGCTATAACCCGAGAATGTTCTTGGAGCCTGTAGTCTCAGAACCTTCTTAGAACGGGTTCTCAGAAGGCTTATGTTGTTCAAGGGTCCTCCTTTTGGTGGGCATTTCTTTCTTCCAGAGGAGCCCTCCTGATTAATGAGGGCCTATCTGTTGATTTTGAGCATGGCGTTTTGCGACATTGGTGTCTCTGGCAGCCCCTCTCACAACAGCTCCCTGTCATAGCCTCTCCACATTGTCATGTGTTTGTCGGGTATTTAGGCCCATTCACAACAGCATCAGATAATAGTTGCTCTAGTTGCAGCTTGCACATTAACTGGGTGGTTGGGAGCTTTACCATCACAGAGCAGCCCAGGCAACATTGGGGAGGATGAGTTAGCGGTTGTTGGGGCAGCAATTGTTCCATGAACTTTCTGGCAAAGCATTTGTCTGATGTGACTGCTTAGGGGCTTTGCATTTTCCAAACGGAGATGGTGCTTGGAGCATTGCCGGCATTGGCCCTTGCATTAATTAACTACTACAGTACCCCGCAAATAGCGTATATATATATATATATGCATGTATACCTGTATACATTTGTACATATCTACTGCCCACTTTATCACTGTCGTACAGCGTTAATACACCGCATGTGTCCTTGGGTGCCTCGATTTGAGTGTAGCGGAATTCCTGTCAGAGATGGACTTCATCGGCAAGAATGTTTCCTAAGGTGCTCTGGCTTGGATTGTGAACGGGGCCCTGGTCCTTTGTGGTTTTCCAACATCAATAGGGATGAGGGAAAATCGGAGAAGCTAACCCCCTTTGGACCGCCGCACCCTCCTTGTCGGTTCTGTTCAGGGATCCTTCTGGCCCCTTGCTGACATTGGATTTTGAGAAGTGAACAAACCCGGTAATTAACCCTTGGTGTGGTCAACGCTTCCTTTCACTTACCTGGGGGTTGCATCAACCTTGTTCCTATTAACAAAGCCACGACATTCGGGCCCTAAACTCGTGGCTCTCCTTTTCATTTCCCTGTAAGCCAACCTGTTTCACGGGTATCCTGAAAAAACACCCACACCACACCCGTGAGGAGTTTGGACTATGCCCAAAGCTCTGTATGCGAGCAATATGGCTGTGGGTCAAAACCGTTTTGGTACCATTTTGGGGTAGGTGGATTCACCACCCATTTTGGATTGGGATGTTCATTGGGGGTACGATTTTGGACTTTGACCCATGGCCATATGTATCAACAATTTCCCTCCAAGAGGGTCAAATGTTGGTATGTACTACATGTCGATCTTAGACAAGACACATAAAATGGGTAAGTCTCAAAACAGGCAATCCGAAATTGGTTGCTTGCCTGGTGTTTCCCTTTTAAAACCATACCACAAAGGGGGGGGCACGTTCAAAGCAAGACACACCCATACATTATATATATATATATGCTACCCCCCGGTTGCCTGTCCAGTGCATGATTTGCCCATCTAGGACTGGGAGGAACGATCTCTCAACTAGGACCAGGACCAAATGAGACTAGAACCCAGGATCTCTCAACTGGGACTAGGACCAAACTAGGACTAGACGACCCACCTCAGATTCTTACAAAAAATAAACTTCAAGTATAACTTCCTCTGTAATGTCCTGTAAACTGGGAGCAACCTAGTACTAGAACCAAGGATCTCTCATCTAGCACCAAACTAGGACTAGACCATTTAAGTCTACTTCTTATAGTATTTGGATGTCAAGGATTACATTCTGGTGGAAAGACAGTGATGTTTAATATGTGGTTTGAAACAGAATAACCATAAATTATGATTGGATATGTTCTTTATTTTATTCTACTGTTCAGTTAGCAGTTGCATAGAACTTGATTAATATATTAACTACAATTCATAAGGAACTTCCTTTGTATTGTCCTTTGTACGTTCTATTTATTTCTGTAAGCTAGGACCATGCTAGGCCTAGAACCAAGGATCTCCCAACTAGGACTAGGACCAAGCTAGGACGAGACCATCTAATAATCTAACTCTAGTTCTGAAAGTGCGTGAATTTCAAGTACAATGTTCTATTGGACAGGAAATCGTTTGTACCATTTAATTTGACATAGAACAATCAATACTTAAGTTCGCATCTAAATCGGAATTCTGGCTGGAGTATGTCCTTCTTAAGCTCCATTGAATCTTAAACAGATATTGGGTCGAATGTGATAAAACATATTAAGTGGAATTCATAAGGAAAGAATTCAAATGTCCAAAACTTGTGTCTTTTCACTAGTCCGAACACTACCATGGTCAGAAAACACCGTAAAGCACAGTGTTGTGTAGTGTTTGTCATACTCAATTCACATCTCCACCAACGAACACTCGCTAAATGCTCGTTTGAATTTGAACCCGATTTAATTGGGACTCAATACGGAAATATTTGGTCAGAATCCTAATGGTAATCAAATGTGAAATTTCGAGAAAATAGAGTTCCTTTCCCAATATGTACTTACAATTCAATTAGAGCTTTAACAGGATTTGATAAAAAAAGAACCCCAGGCTCAGCCTGTATTCAGCATTGAATAATCAATATTATCTAGACAAGTCTTCTTTGCAAACGCGAGTCCAGGCCCGAGTGAGACCCATTGAAACCAACTGAAATTTCAGTTGAGCCTGGGTTCAAGATTCCCTAGAAAACTTTGGCCTACAATCTTGAATGTGGGCCTAGATTGAAGCAGATTGAATGAATAATCAGGACTTGCATGCTTGCACAACACTGTGCCAAAGTACAGCCGCGCAAAGTGCAATGTTGAATATGGGTCTCGATTTAAACCGATTTAAACCGATTTAAGTCTAAATCGGGCATGGATTCCAGATTCAAGAATCCAGGCCAAACTTGTCCAGGGAATCTTGAATCCAGGCCTCGATTTAACCCGATTTAAACCGATTCAACTTAAATCGGGCATGGATTCAAGATGTTGGCCTGGATTCTTGCATCTTGAATCCATGCCCGATTTTAGTTGAATCGGTTTAAATCGGACCCTGGATTCAAGATTCCTTGGAAAAGTTTGGCCTGGATTCTTGAATCTTGAATCCATGCCCGATTTAAATTAAATTAAATTAAATCGGCTTCAATCGGTTTAAATCAAGCCTGAAGCTTCCAGAACGTCATTGGAAATGCATCTTTTTTCATTGCTCTCCCCAAAGCCCAAAAAAGGGTAGAACACAGGGCAAAAACCAGTGAATTCTTCAAAAAGGTAGGTCCCTGGGGGGGGGGGTACCATATATATATATATATATGTCTATACATATGGTACCCCTGTCGCCCCCCCTCCACAATCTCCCTAGCCTAAGGATAGTCTTTTGATCCGACACGCCTGGCAACTGTTTCTGGCAATCCCGGAATTCATGACAACATGGGGCATCTATGTTTGCGTGAGGGGCAGTGTACTTTGCAAAGAGAGTCATCATTACAACTCTCAAGTTCTGAACCACGACTACGGGAGCCAGTGCCGGTTCCCTGGCTTTTACAGCAATGGCTTCCCTCAAAAGCCACTGTCAGCGGGGCCTAGCGCGCATGGGGCAAACCAGGAATGATTTGCTCAAGACATTGCAGCTGGATGGAGTCAAGGTGCTTGCTGGGCCGAGTGCGGCACACTTCCCACGCCACCAGTTTCTATGGAACTTAGTTGGGCACTTCAAGGGTACTTTCCCGAACGACTCCCTGGAGAGCATGCGCAAAGCATGGGAGTCAGGGGCTGCAGAGACTATGCCTCAAGCTCCCGAGCCGAAGCAAGACTACAAAGTTGGCTACTTCTGGCACCGACTTGCAGATCGAGTACACCTACTGTGTTATTGCGCGCCTCGTGGACACGTCAGAATCCACAACTTTGTCTTCTCTGATCGGCCAGGGTCCACCAAGCCGAGTCTGGTGGGAAGGGCGATTTTCATGGCCCATAGGCGGTACCGGGTACAAAAGCCCGAGAACGCGCCGCCTGGCTCGGGTGAGAGCAAAGCATACCCGCAAAGCATGCCCCCGAAGCGTACCCGCAAATCATACCCTGCGCTCAGGCCTCCCTACCCAGCCACCGCAAAAGAAAACACCGGCATTGTAAGATATGTGTTACCACACACACATACTACATGTACATCTTGTATCATGAATTGATTACGAGCATGCCACTCTTGGTTTTCCCTCGGGTTTTTCGCTTCAGGCGGGTGCCGCGGGCGGCATCAGCGCCTTGTCGGCGCAAGAGGCAGCGCAGCTCACAGTGGAGCAGGCGATGAAGGAGCGACGCTTCGTGCTGCTTGGCCCACTGGAGGTTTCTTCATGGTCATGGGCCCTTGGACTTTAAACTTCTTGGGAGGACCATTTGGGTGGTAACAACATGTAAGAAAAGGTTCGGGGAGTCAGGTAGTGGAGTTGTTGACGTTCTTCACTTGGGTATGTCCTGTTTTTGAGGGTACCCCTTTTCTTGTTTTCAAGGAACGCCACCGAAAGGAAAACTAATATGTCGGGGGTCCCCTGAAAATGGACACGCCGTAAGCATCATTGGACCTTGACTTAAATGAACCAGAACCTCCGGCGGAAGTTTTTTGGGCATGTGTTTTCCCTGGACATAGTCACCATCCCATGTGAGGTTCGGTCAAATCACCAGATTTGCCTATGGTCCATTTGGGAGATTTGGACATTCAGGACAAGCTGTAAATTTCTCACAGAAACCAGGGAATTGCTAAATGTCCCATATCCTCTTGGGGATATCAGGTGGGGATACCACCTAAGCTTAGTATGTACATATTCCATCGTTTGCCTGGGTTGAAAACAGTTTACGCGTTGAGTTGTTTGAAAAGTCTCAAAAGGGGAAATCAGAGGAAGACACCAGAGAGCTTTGGGAAAAGTGACTACTACAGCTATACCGGTTCTTTGTTGGCCTGATGTTATGACGCATATGACCAATCACACGCTGCACTCCCGACTGCTTAATTGGTGGAAGGAGGACCCCCTAGAAGTGTAGAACTCCCATATTTGTGTGTGTGTTTTTTGGGCGGGGTGCTGTAGTGCAATGTTCCTGCTGGCATGCCATTCATGCTTTGTACTTTGTGGACAACTGGGTTGGGCCGATATTCAAGACGCTGTGAATCTGTCAGCGATGTAAGAGAAGGCTCCCAAACAGCGTTGAATGGAACTGTTTCTGGGGCAATGGGGTCGAAGGCAGTTCTTGTGAATCTCTCTTTTCAGCAATTGCAAGAATCATGGACCTCCGAACAAGAAAGCTCAGGCAGGCGGGATATATCCTTCCTTTTTTGAGACGGAAGGCTGAATTTGTTGTTTGTTTCGATGGCTGAGGTCAACCTGCAAGCTGGGAGATTCGCTGCTGAAGGCCTTTGAAGAAATGCACGCCTCCAAACAGAACTGCGTGCTGATCCTTGACGACGGGCACGAGCTCGATGAGGACGGTGGTTTTGGGTGCAAATAGGGGAAGCCCTTCAAAGGGAATGACTGCTTCCCTTTGTTGTCCTTTGAAAACTACAAAAACTGGGACCTCCCAAACAAATACAAATATCCCAAGCTAATCCCCTGCAAGTTTGGTCAACTCCTCGAGGTATGCAAGACTTGTCCCGGCATAGCCAGCAGGAGGAGAAGACGGAGGTCAAACAGGAAGACGAAGAACGAGAAGCGCTGGCCTCAGGGCTTTCCCCTGCCACAATCAAAGTGACCTTCCCTAGTTACATCCACTGAGACGTTTGACAATGAGCAAGCCTGTTGGTGTGTGTGTGTGTGTTTCTTTTTCCTTTGTGTGTGTGTCCATTCAAAGGCAGAAGGTTTGCTGCTTACTGCTTGTCATTTTTTCTTGATGCAGGAAGTTCCACTGTTTAAAGTTTAGGAGAGACATTTGTGCCCCCCTCTATGCCGCAGAATGCAGACCTTTTTGTCGATCTGAGTTGTACACTGCCTTGGCCAAGGAATTGACGGCCGAAGATGAACAGTGGAACAAGGACTGCCTGCAGATCAAACAGCCCACCACCAACACGACTGGACGTGGGCAGGGAGGGTCTCTGGACCACCAAAACTGTGAAAACACGCAGACAATCAACAACACACTTTGTGCAACCATTCACAACCGGGTGGTGGCGCAACCCGAGCCGAGCCGTTCAACCAGAAGATGACCAAACAGGCTCGGAAGTTGGTTTGACATTGTTGGGAATCGGACCCTGCAATATGGTGGTTTTCTTTTTGGCTTCCTCTTAAGACCACGAACAAAGCTACCATCAATAAACAGCTAGGGCCATTTGATACATATGTTGGGAAAACTAAATGATGTCAGAACAAACACCCAACAACCAAGCAAACCAACAGCCAAGCAAACCAAGCAAAGAAGCAACGCAGCAAACAAACAAACCAACAAACCACGACACCAAGCTGCGAAAGACCTTTTTTTTTCTGCCTGGGGCTCCACGCCAAGCTGGCCAGGAGCATGGCCAGGTCCTAGGCACCGTCACCTCCTCGGACGCCCTGCGGGCCTTCTCGGAGCATCTCAGAGGCGCGCGAGGGATGGGAAGGCATAGGTCGACCCCATCAACCCCAGGCTGGTTTTCAACTATTGGTTTCCCTTTGAAACCGCCAAAAAGGGGTACCCTCAAAAAAGACAGCCAAAATGTTGACCCCACATGAATTTCAACCAACCAGCTTATTCATAGCGGGTGTCCTCCTGGTTCAGTGGGGAATCAGACCACTTTTGGAGGGGCGCACACCCCCTGCGAATAAAATGGGGTTAATAAATATATATGGGGTCAACATTACGAAAGATCCGCCCTTTAGATCCACGTCGCGACGTGGGTTTTGGGTAGGACCTTTTTTTTTGAGCTGATGGTTGGAAGCGAGCCGTTCCGGGGCTGGGGGTATCCAAATTCGCCTTCAAAGATGGAGCCTTTCGGAGCTACCAGGGCATGGTAGGGGCAAGAAACCGTCCCTAAAACAAAGCCGGTTCGCATGTCCAGCACGCGGGTCCCAACTTGCCTGCTTTTTCAACCATCTTCAAAATCCGCTAGAGTCGGGTGCTGGCAAGTCACTGGGGATTCTTAAGTGGTTGCGCTTTGGAGGTTCTCAAACTGGGCTGGGATCCCCCTTTGAGCTGCCAGCTGGGCGTGAGTGTTTGTGTGTGTGTGTGTGTGTGGGTTGGGGTGGATGGCTGAAGGCCGAAGGGCCGAAGAGAAGCCTCAAATTCGCCAGGCTTAACATCGATGGATCGATGGTCCGTGCTGGGAGCCATAGCAATAATCACAGTTGTAGGGAATATGGGTGTTTCTCAGAATTCGGGACCCCTCCTAGGTGATTTCCCTTCGGTGCCCTTTAAAAACCATCCGGAGAAACCTATTTTGAGACACGCCCATATGGCGCTGTTCGGCTCAATGTCTGTACGAATGGAAGCGTCCAAGTGAAGATGACACGCTTTGGCAGTACAAGGACTATTTCCCGCAACCATTGCTAGAACCAAGACCGATTCAAGCAGATCAAGGTTGGACGACAGTCCCAGTGGATAGGTAAGGTAAAAGCTCCTTGACTCTTTGCACAGTAGACCCTTGAAGGTTTATAGATTAAGAAGTCGGCAGCAGCCAATGCAGAGTCGCGCTTTCAGGTTTCACTGACTCATCAGGTGTTCATTGCGGCAGCGACACTCGCTTTCCATCGTATCGGGCTAGCTGATTCTCTCATCCCAGGTTCGGTTTGGACTGGCCTGTGGACGTGTTGCAGTCCACAGTGGAAGAATTACAGAGTTACTCAGCTCGGGCCCAATCTGCAAGGTTTCCTAGAGTGGCCCCACCGTCGTTTTGCACATCACCTCTTGCAAGCTCCGATTTAATTCGAGTTCCTGTTGATACTCGAAAAGGGACACATTTGTTTTATCATGCTCCCAGGAAATGATTTTTTGGGCGTGTCATTTCATGGTGGTGGACTGCTTGTGAAGCAAAGTCCGTGGCAAAAGTGCGCGGCTGGATTTCTGACTTCAGGTTTTGGAATCCATGACCTCATAAACCTGGACTCAGCCAAGAAGGATTCTCTCATAGCCTTCCTCCCACTTCAGAGAGCATCTGTGGGGCCCCCTGAAGATCAACTTTTGGTGAAACAGACCCCTGATCAGGTGCCCTGCTAGTCGGAGGGAGGGAATGTATTCCCGAAGTGAGACGCCCCTCTTGGAGGTTCAGGGATTGAGCGCGTCTCTTGGCAGAAAGGATTCCGGGAACGTGACAGGCAACACCAGCAGCGTGCGCGGCTGGCTGCGGGGCCTGAATGAGCAGGCCTCGCGAAACTGGGAGCTGAGGTTCCATTCCTCCATGTGTTTTCTTTTTGTCCATTTTTGAGAGGAACCATGTGTGTTGTTTTTTTTTTTTTTGAGAAGAAAAAGGAGGCAAGAAGGACAAGCGGCATTTTGTGGGTTCCCTCAAACAAACCCATCTGGAGCATGTTTGAGAGTATCATTTGCCCTCACTAGCATGTCGGAGCTATCGTCGCCTTCACTCCAGATAGCCGGCACGTTGATCGAAACATTCACTTGCGAGAGTTGCTGATGTGGAAATCCATGCTGACGGTTTGCAAATCCATGACGGTCATTTGCTGGTTTTGATCCTCAAAACTGAAGCTGGCAGGGGGATTACAAAAAACCGTTACGCACCTCAGGTTTGCCTCCGTACTACCCTCAGTGGTCCAAAGCCGACGACTCTTTGATCTTTTCGGTGTCCTGGGCTGTTTCTGGGTTTGGGCAACTTACCATGTGAAGGCTGTACCAAAGACGAAGGGTACCTGCGCGGAGCAAAGACCTGTGCCCAAGTCACCTGCGCATCAACGCACGGAGACACGGACAGGCACCTCTGTAGATTCGGACATTTGTGGAAAACGTCCTTCTTATATTGTTCATACGAGTCATTCTGATGAGCGTAAGTACTACATAAAAGCAAACAGCTAGTTGCTAGAGAAAACTAACTCCACATACGGCATGAACATATTGTTGGAGAAGGACAGCAGCACCAGCACCAGAACCAGACCACTGCGTCCTCTCCCTTGCTCCGCCCACCCTCCCACCCTCCCACCCTCCTCCACCCTCTCCCACCCTCCTCCAACCCTCCTCCCACCCTCCTCCCACCCTCCTCCCACCCTCCTCCCACCCTCCCACCCTCCTCACCCTCCCACACTCCGCCCACCCTCCCACCCTCCTCCCACCCTCCACCCCACCCCCCACCCCACCCCCCACCCCACCCCCCACCCACCCCACCCCACCCCACCCCATCGCTTCCCCATTGCCGACCTTGTGGGTCGCCCAATTTTGTTCCATAGCAAGGCTTCCCAATGGCAAACCTGTTTTCCACTGGGTCTTTTGGGCAAGTGGCTTAAGGAAAGACATGAAACTGAACAGGAACAGCAAGTTGCTCCACCAAAAGGAAATTCCTCACAAAATTGACGCTTGTTAGTCTCCATGTTAATTTGGGAGGTATCCCAGCCCAGGTATCCCAGCTCAGGGTTCCAGCTTTTGGCTACCCCAAGGCAAACCTAAACCCAGGGGTGGCTAATGTCCCATGGCTTGCAGCCGCCAAGACATGGCAGCCAGTCCCAACCTGCCCCAAAAAGTGTGAGTTTTCCTTCTAGGGGTTGATAACCACCCTGGGTTTTTTGGTGGTTTTCTGGAAAGAAGGATCCCTGGAAAGAATGGGGAAGCTACCCCTAGAAACCTGGCAGTTTCCCTCCAAGCGACGAAAAAGCCGCGGGGGTTCAGGTTCCCCAAACAAAAAGGGCCTTGAAGGAGCACCACAGCCCGGCGGCGCGGTCGGTGCGCTGCAACGCCACGCTGGCAGAAGCGGCGCTGGAGATGTGCCAAGGGGAGCTGCACCACCTGCTGGTCACTCGGCGGGCGGGTGGGTGGGCGGGTGGGCGGGCGGGCGGGTCTGGGCTGTTCCGGCACTTGGGCTATATCCTTGCTGCTTTGGACTATCCTCTGGGCTGGTGCTTAATCCTCACCTGGGGTACGAGAAGAATCCTTAATCCTCAGATGGAAGTGCGCAGGCTCCCTTTCCAAGCCCGGGGGGGGGGAGCAAACCTTGAGTCTGGAGCCAAACGACGCTTGAGCGCCAAATCATGCTTGCTGGTGGGAGGTTACTTGGTTTCTACTTGGGTGCAAGTTAGTAAGCGTTTGTTCCCCTACAGTAGGTTACAACCCACTTCTAAGTCCCCCTAAAAGGGGTTAACCGTGTTGTTCGGGGGGTCAAACCCCAAGTGGCCAACCACTTACTGACTTGGCCGGACATCCAAGTAGATGCATGCGCACTTCGCGCATTTCTTTGCGAGAAATTCGCAAGATGGGAACCTTGCGTGCCCTTACCTGCTTCAGAAACATGGTTATTGTTGGGAAACGTTTTTTTTTTTTTGTTTTTTCATTCTTGCTTATTGTGGCTTAGTGGTTGAAATCCCCACTTAACTGCTAAAATTTGAGAATTGTTGCTCCCCTTCCAACGTGAACCAAGGGGAGACAGGAGGATGGAATGCCATTACACAGACCATCCAGTCCTGTAGCTCTCAACCCCCGCGCCTTTTGGAATTTTCGGACGGGATACGGATTCAGATGGCGAAGATACTGCGACCTCACCCTTCATGGGTTTGAATCCGAAAGCCGCAAAAAATATGCGAGTTGCCTTTCCCGTGTTTTGTTGTTGTTGTTTCTTTTCCCCCCACCTGACCGGTTTGGCTTCTTAGATTTTAAGTCACATCTGACCAGCCACAGGGCTGAGCACAGCAGCAGCAGCAGGTGATTTTTTTGCAGGCAGGATGTAGATGATGCAGTACAAAGCTCCTAGCCGTACATTTCTTGTCTAGGTCCCCCAGTAGTGCCCTTTTACCCCTTTTTTGGGGGAGGGTTCTCCTACTAGTGCATCTCGTATTTCTCCGTGACTTTGAAGTCATGACGGTGGCCCCGCACTGAACAAACCATGAAATTCGGAAGAGAAGATGCGTGGACATGAATCCCCCATGTAAACGATGCACACCAAAGGCTTCCCGGTTCAAGCCCATTCCCAGCAGAGTTTTTTTGGGGGACGTCGGGCTGTCTCAGGTGATGGATGGGGACGGAGAGGTCGCAGGTGTGTTGTCAGCTCTGGACATCGTGCTGGGAGCTCAGGTTCCGAAAGCAAATGCTTTGCCTCGGAGCCTTTCTTCTGAAAGGGGGTTGTGACGCAAGTTCAAAGGGCACTTCCCCAAAAGAAGGCCCCGACAAGGCAGGACCCTGTCCACAAAGCGAACCTACCGAGGGTTTTGTTTAAAGGAACATTGTCTTCCACCCTTCAGTCAGGTTCCATGCTCAGTTGCCCAAGCCAGACCTTTTGACGTTCCCCTTTTTTGGCCCTTGGGTGGCCCCAAAAGCTAACTTTTTTGCTTCCCAAGTCCTTTGGACAACGGAGTCATGGCAACGTGGACAAGGGTGTAATACTTCTAGGGCAGCACAAAGCCCATGGATCAGACGGCCCGGCGCTTCAGGCGTTTCCGTATCAACTTTGGTTTGGGTACCAGCATTGCTCTCTTTGTGCCACGCAGATGTTTGATTCGCAGGCATTTGGCAGCCGGCCGGTTTTAGCCTGTAATTACTTGTGGGCACTTTTTGCTTTCAGATGGCGTGATGTGGCCAAGATATGCGTTTGCAAATGGCTTATCCACCTGGCAGACATTTGCTTAAAGAGGCAATTGATCTTCCAGGTACCCTCCCACAAATGATATGACAGTTCTAGCCGATGTTGTGAGAGTGTGACTGGCTCAGATCCCCTTGTTTTGTGTAATGCCCTAAAACCGGCTGTATGGTCTATAGCCACATCCGCCAGTTCAAAATGAGCTCTCAAAATGGGACCAATCTATGGTTTGAAAGGAGCCACGGACCTCAAACTAAATTAAAGCCACTCCCAACAGCCGTGTCCTGTGTTGGCTACAGTGTCGGGAGCAGTTTGAAAGGGACGCCAACTGCAACATCACCATTTTCGGCTCCCATGTGTGAAACCATCAGGATCAGGGTTGTGGGATCACTTTATGTGGCAGGTTTGTATTTGAGAAGCCCTTCTTATTGTATCACAGAAGTGTTCATTTCCCACAGCCCTGATCAGCATAGATTTGGGTAGACACCATCCCCAATCAGAAATCAAGCCCATGAGGTTCAGATCCCGAAGATGAGCCCAAAACACACATTCGGGTATCTGATCCGGTCAGTGAGGGACAATCCCAGCCAGAAATCTCGCGGCGGACCTCCGCCCTTGTATTTCCTTACATGGTTCTGGGTCAACCATTTTGATACCGGGTTTTGAGCAAGTGACTCACATGTACCCCCCCTGAGTTTTTGAGGGTCCGGTTGGCCATGAGGTGCGCTCTGGGGGCTTCCTACAGATTCGACCTGGCCTCGCCCCGTTTTGTATAGTTGGGTTTCGTGTGCTACACTAGGAAGCTGCATTAGTTGGTCCCAAATGGCAAGAACGCAAGGCAGGCCAACCTGACTAGGAGAAGGAGACTATAGTTTCTTCAGTATGACATGTGCCTCAGCATGAGGGGCTGATCCTGGTATTTGCACCCATGCTAATTACAGAAGGTAATCAGGCCAGAAACAGTATCATTGACATGGGGCACTGCTTAAGCATGCTAGTGCAGCGCCATTCGCGGGAGCCTGTTGAACAAGAATTGGCATGCGTCCTCAAACAGATTGGGTCGCGCCCATCCGCTCCCAGCGTTTTCACGCTGCGTTTCCTAACTCAACGCAAAGGATGCTCGGTTTGATTTGTAGCGTCAGTCTTGCAATAGACCACGTGCTTTGCTTTGAGTTTGCAGCTATTCTTGAAATGTTTCAATTGAGCTGATGACGGCCTCTCGGTACCACAAAGTCACTAGCACAGCCTCAAATCCGAGCAGAGCGTCCAATCAAATGGCGCGACGCTCGAAGCCTGCTCCTGATGGCGGTGGGCTGGGGTTGTGTTGGGATCGCGTTGAGGTGTCAGTCGTCAGCTCGCCGTCGCTCATTTTGCGGATGGCACTTTTAACTTGTGTACAGCTTCCAACAGGTTGTCAAGGTGCCCTGGACTTTCAATACCGGCACGGCCACCTTGCTTTACCACGAGGAAATCCTCAATCGCAAAAGACGTGAGCATGACAGCCCTGGCTCTGCACTCATAGCAAGAGGAAGGCGCACCGAATCTGAGAGCCGGATGGAGAACTGGTACTGCAACTATGATTGGTAAATAGTCACCCCATCATTTCTCAGGGCGCTCCCTTTTCCCGTGGGGATTCCTGCCTTGCAGAACCCTCTTTCATGGGCCAGTCTGCTTTGGGCCTCTCCTTCCCGCTAAGGAGGAAGATGCTCAGAAAAGGGGCCACCAGTCAGGTTCAGTGCTACTTCCAGTTGGTTAAGAATATGGTTTATTTTCCCCTGTTGGTTTGAAGGGAATCTATCACTACTGGAAATATGTTTATTTTATTTATTTTTCCAGGGGGCTTCAGCAAATGGAGGACAAGGATATCACTTCTGACGCTGCGCATTTCCGTTCGAGGCTCGCCGACATGTCCAGTTGCACGAGCCAGGTGAGCCAGTTGCGCCAAAATGCGGGACACACGTCTCGAACCGGGCATTTTGTTTGAACAGTTCCGTCATGTTGGCTCCCAAGAGCTTCCACTAGGTGAGTTTGGTCTGTCTCGTCAAACACACCTAGTGGATCCCAGACCCCTATAGTAGGTGGACAGCAATTGTGTTCTTTAAAGGGTGGCTTCTTTGGTTACCTACAATATGAATAGAATGGAATCACTGGGCTTCAAGGTCCTCGTGTAAGGACCTCGTTGACACCGCACCTGCGGGACTTCCTTTTGGGACTCCGCAAGGAAAATCTTGCCAAGTCGACCCACAAAGAACCAGTTGCCCGTTTTGTCCCTCCACCAAGGAAATGGGTTCCAGTGTGCGGCGAATGGTTCCATATCCTTTCCTGCGGCAATGCTGAGAAGTGGTTTGTGGTTCAAGCAGCCTTAGGACACACTCCTGCCAAACACGCGGCACTTTGCCAGTCACATCAGTTCAGCATGATGGAGAAGCACATTGCAGCAAAGCTTTGGGTCTGAGGACAGAGCCACAAGTCTGCTCGGGTGTTGCGTCTCAGGACAGCTGCGCCACGCAGATGCCTGATTCTTTGGTCATGCTGAACACCAAAAAAAACGCCATGCTACTAAGGACTTGTGTGCACTTTGGGTTTCGCGCACCTCAGAAAAGTACCCGAAATAATACGCAACATGATCCGAAATGAAAAGATTGTCAGTTCCCTGGACCCAACTGCGAAAGAGCAATTTTCAGGGTGTACTCTCAGGGTTCATACAAATCCTTGGATGACTGCATTCAAGACTCGCAGAATGACAACCCGGGGTTCACCAACCAATCCCAGCATAGTCCAATCAATTGCGACCGCTTGCGCTGGCAATGGCAAACGCAGCTGGCAGGGCGCGCAATGTTGGCATTGCCCTGGGAGCTTTAGGCAAGGCCTGCAGATTGACTTTTGACCGTTTTGAACCTTTCTGTCGCGTATACACCACCCGGTCTTTATTGTTTTTTGGGCTTGAGTTGCTGCTAGTATCCTTGCAAATCAAGATATTCGGCTGGCCTAAGGTGACAGCGGCGGAATACCCTCAATTTAGCTTGCAACCACCAAAGGACAGACAATGTCATTTGTCCAGACTCCTCCCTAACACCGCTCACCCAAACCATTGCAGTTTGCGAGTTGCTTCGAATCGGCACTTCCTCAGTCCACCAAAGTTGGCGCAAAGATTAGCAGCTTTGGGTTAGTCCCAAAAAGCGACAGAAAGGCGCCGGCCCATTTTGCTGCAGATTGATTAAACCCCTTCTTGGCCTTCTTGGGCTCCCCAAAAGGAGCCGGGCCGTTCCTTTTGGCTGCAATTCTTTCCTTGCCCCATCCGGCTGGCCTATAAGACAAGGCGAGGCATTCCATCCTCCAGGGAGCCTGGAACAATCCGGGACCTAGTGCCGAAGGTTCGCGCGAAGGGTAGATGAATGGAAGGCGACCTTGCAACTCCACCCCCTTTTGCTGGGATGACTCCTTCAAGGATTGGACCCTTCTTAGGGGTAGTTAGACGAATTGGCTTGGGTAGACGAATTGGCATGGGTCGGCTTGTTTTTTTCCCGCGAAGCGAGGACTGCTGTCCTTTTACATTGCCAGACTCAACTGACCCTTGACCCTTTTTCCCGTGTGTTTTCGTTCTCCCTCGACTCAGCCAGATTCCCTTGACCCCTGACCCTTTTCCCTGACTCACCCTGACCCCGTGACCCTTTTCCCTTTTCCCTTTGACCCTTGACAAGCCAAGCTTTGGTTACCTGCAAGGGCCGAGTTTTGGTTGCTTGGTCCCCAGTCATTCAGGTTGTCCCCAAAGGCCCCAAACAAAATGTGCACCGCCCTGAAAAGCGTTTCCTCTGGGATTCGGCTGCTGATCATGACTCGGCTCCACTTCGTATGGTTTTGAGTCCCGAGAACCAGATTCTTCTTGTAGGAATCTTCCAGGAAACCACCCAGGAAACCGGAAAACCGGAAAACCAGGAAACCGGCAAAACCTGGGAACCACCCAGGATTTTCTTAGACCAGGAAGCCACCCAGGCGCCTGCCGGACCGGCCATAGCCCGAACATCGGCCCAAGCTACGTGGCACCCTCGGCCTGGGGCGCCGGACTTAAAGCGCAGGCAGCGGCTTCGTGCTGACCTACACGGGCTCTCAGCTGCTGGCATCTCCTCCGAAGCCAAAGCCGGGGTGCGCAAGACCGAGACCGCTGCCGTCTTGTTGTTTGAACGGGGAAAGCACATGTGTCATGGTCAGAAGTCAAAAGAGCTTCTTTCCTTTTTACTTGGGGTGAACAAGGATGGTCATCCACCTGGTAAGGATCCTTACAAACCACGATCATGTTTTCTATTGAGGGGGCCTTGGTCGTGGGCCATACACGGAGTTTTGACCATGGCTCGCATGTTGGACTTGGACTTGGCTGTTTTAAATGCAAAGTACAAGGGCACGCACCTTTTGCAGCGTGAGTTCACGGTGCGTCTTTCTTGGGTGGGTGCAGCTGTGGGATTGTTTTGGAGGGAAAGCAAGAGAAATCCAGTTGGTATCGTTGTTTGGCGGAATTTTGTTTTCGGTTTGTATAAGTGAGCACCCCAGGACACCGCTTACAAAACACTTGAAGCCGAAGGGGAACTTCTCCGACCCCCCCCCCAAACACCAAGCCCATCTTTCTGGAGGCAAAGCTGCAGTGGCAGTGGTTTTTTCAGAATGTTTTCCCTGGACTGTGCTAGAACGGAGAGTGCTAAGAGTTTGTTTGTCTCTTGTGCCAAGATTGGTTGAGTTGTCTTTGTTTGTAACATGGGTCGCCATCACAGAGGCACTGAATAAGGATAAACCAAAACAACTCTGTCTGAGAACATAATGTGGACCGGGATTAATCAGCCCGCCAGATTCAAACAAGGGTGCTTGCTCCGAAGCTGAAATCAGAACGTTCCTCTTCAAAACCAAGTGGCGGGTTCGTTTTCTTTGCCGATCGAACCCCCGTGAGTGCTCCAACTGGGCAGTCCTTCTTAGACTACCTTATCGGAAACACATGAACGCATGGTCTCATGCAAAAAGTACACTTTGGCTTCCTCTAAGAGGTCCAAGCTTGCCCCTCACATGGATTCAGCCAAACTTGCCCCTGGAAATTCAGGGGCGTGGGCTTTTTGATGGCCCCTGCTGCGCTGTTGAAAGGGAATCAAGTGACCCAAGCAACAGAACCAACCAAGCAACAGGACCGATCCCGCTCTTCACACCCGTTGGCTGGGGCTTTGTTAGTTGATGAACCCTGTTTGGTACCGATTCTCTTCGTACCGAGTCGGATCCTGTTTTGATACCCTCTGTCAAAGGAACTTGAGTCCGACTCTGACTCTTTTGATGGTACCCGGTTGAAATCGTTTGGTTGCCAAACAAAAACACCACATGAACCGCTTGCATTGGGTACTACTGTTCCAGGGGTTGATTCCCCATTATTTTCAAGCATCGTTCTTTTCAAGAGGCAGCTGTGTTCCCAGGGTTGTTGGTAGTTTTCTAGAAAGATTCCGATCCCTGGAAAGAATGGAAATGGAAGGTACCCCTAGAACACCCACACAAGGCTTCAGAGGGGGGTAGCTCCCTGTGGACGCCGGCCAGCTGGAGTATTTCGACCAGGTACCCCTAGAACCCCCCTCCCCACCCCCGCCCCCTCCCCGCCCCCTCCCCCCCCCCTCATTTGGACTGCCTGTGCGGTCCCAACAGCACTCCAACCGCCCGGCTTACGCATGTCGACCCCGCAGGCCCTGCCCATCGGAGAAGGCCAGGAAGGAGACGTTCGATGGCCTGGACGGAAGCTTAGATTCGCTGGCCGGGGAACTCTACGGAGAGGTACGCAAAGATACTTTGGATGAACAAAATCCATTTT